ATCCAGTGACTCTGGTTTATAGACCGGATACATCCTAAATATAGAGCCATTTATCCAACCATCCATCCAGAGCCTCTGGTTTATAGACCGGATACATCCTAATATAGAGCCATTTACCCAACTGTACATCCAGTGACTCTGGTTTATAGACCGGATACATCCTAAATATAGAGCCATTTATCCAACCGTCCATCCAGAGCCTCTGGTTTATAGACCGGATACATCCTAATATAGGGCCATTTACCCAACTGTACATCCAGTGACTCTGGTTTATAGACCGGACACATCCTAAATATAGAGCCATTTTATCCAAATGTCCATCCAGAGCCTCTGGTTTATAGACCGGATACATCCTAAATATAGAGCCATTTGTCTAACTGTACACCCAGAGCCTCTGGTTTATAGACCGGATACATCCTAAATATAGAACCATTTATGCAACAACCCATCCAGGTCCTCTGGTTTAGAGATCGCATACATCCTAAATATAGAGCCATTTATCCAAATGTCCATCCAGAGCCTCTGGTTTATAGACCGGATACATCATATAGAGCCATTTATCCAACTGTCCATCCAGAGCCTCTGGTTTATAGACCGGATACATCATATAGAGCCATTTATGCAACTGTCCATCCAGAGCCTCTAGTTTATAGACTGGATACATCCTAAATAAAGAGCCATTTATCCAACTGTCCATCCAGAGCCTCTGGTTTAGAGACCAGATACATCATATAGAGCCATTTATCCAACTGTCCATCCAGAGCCTCTGGTTTATAGACCGGATACATCATATAGAGCCATTTATGCAACTGTCCATCCAGAGCCTCTAGTTTATAAACTGGATACATCCTAAATAAAGAGCCATTTATCCAACTGTCCATCCAGAGCCTCTGGATATAGACCAGATACATCATATAGAGCCATTTATGCAACGGTCCATCCAGAGCCTCTAGTTTATAGACTGGATACATCCTAAATAAAGAGCCATTTATCCAACTGTACACCCAGAGCCTCTGGTTTATAGACCGAATACAGCCTAAATATAGAGTCATTTATCCAACTGTCCATCCAGAGCCTCTGGTTTATAGACCGGACACAGCCTAAATATAGAGCCATTTATCCAAATGTCTATCTGTGGCCACTGGTTTAAAGTCCAGATGCATTCTAAGTAAAGTATTCTAGTGGTAGCCTCTAAATATTTTTCAGGCTAACATACAAGTAGACTAATGGAGAGCTTACCAGCACAGCTGTTATGAGGCACTATGGGGATTTCCATCCAGCACTGGAGGCTGCTATAGTTTAAGTTCAAAAGATGTCACTAATTTTGGGTCCAGCACCCGTCTGCAGCACCATGGGCAGTCTCTTGTAAGTCCCAGACCAAGCAATGTTTAAGTCAGATGATGGCAACCTCAAGTGTTGGATGGACCATGCCAGATTGCAGACTTATCATTATGTGTTCAGGGCAGAGCAGGGGCGGACTGACCATTGGGGAATTCGGGCTCTGCCCAAGGGCCCGGGGTCAGTAGGGGGCCCCAAGAGATGTCCCTGGTACCGTTCATAGGCTTTTTTGGGTGTGATTTGAGTGTGGGCGAGGGACACAGGGGCTCCATGATTCCCTATTGCCCGGGGGCCCCATGAGTTGTCAGTCCGCCCCTGGGGCAGAGCGGTTTATTTTTCAAGGTACCTGTGTCCATCAATGCAATGTTATGAAGGAGAGAGGAAAATCAAGCAGCCGCAATGGTGTACTCATCCTGTGTGTCTCTGCTTTGGCAGCTGTTATCCCCCATAATTCCTGCACATCTGGAATCCTGACTTCATGTGTTGTATTGTATCTAGATTACCTATTCTATGGCTTCTAAGTCAGCCACCAGATGCTTCCTCTTCTCTGGCTGAAGCCTCTTTAATTACTCATCGTAGCTCTGTTTAATGCTCCCTGTCAGCTGTTACTCTGTGACCCTACATGTCTGTTACCTCTCAAAAAACATACATGACAGGATGTTCTTACAGGACGGCAGGTAAGCAACTTCATGGCTGAATGTATACATCTGTATATTATTAAATATGACAGGGGCTTCCTAGAGTCCAGGAGGAACACAACAAATGTCACTGGATCTCATCTAATCTGACCTTAATTTATATACATACAGGTTCAGGCAGGAGTATAGGAACTCACCAATAGACCAACCTTGAAAGTATAAATAAAGTAATAAAGTGAGCGCTGTCCGGTCAGCAGCTGAAACACTCAAGGTAACCAATATAAAACCTGGTCATAGACATATAATAAATAAGTGCAGCGCTAAAAATGAATATTGGTAAAGTCTGTCCCAAGTTGGAAATAACAATAAAATCATTATGAATATAAATAATTTCCTCAATAAAAGTGACAGTCTGTGTAATAAAATGGTGTAGCATAACAATCAAATCCAGTGGCGGTGCTCCAAATAGTGTGGTAAAAATTACGCACTCACCAGATGCGTAATTTAAGTACGCAGTGTATGAATCAATGGAGGTCTCCTTAACAGATATGGGTCTGGTCTGGAACGCGAATAATCCTCCTTCAGGGTGTTGTTATGTGCCCTCAGAAGAGTAAGAAGATCCAGCTGGCCAGAGGTCCCTTTAAGGAATGGATGGGTACAGGTGCCTGCTTACAGGTGCTCTCCTTTCTGGATACGGTGGATGGATGACTGGATCAACGTGGGCTCTATAAATAAATAGACCATCATCCAGCCACAGACTGCTGTGTCTGTTACCTCTCAGGAGCTTCACAAACTGCCAGTCACATGAGACTACAAACACACCCTTAAAGGGACCTCTGGCTAGCTGGATCTTCTTACTCTTCTGAAGGCTCATAACAACACCACCCTGAAGGAGGATTATTCGCGTTCCAGACCAGACCCATATCTGTTAAGGAGACCTCCACTGATTCATACGCTGCGTACTAAAATTACGCATCTGGTGAGTGCGTAATTTTTACCACACTATTTGGAGCACCGCCACTGGATTTGATTGTTACGCCACACCATTTTATTACACAGACTGTCACTTTTATTGAGGAAATTATTTATATTCATAATGATTTTATTGTTATTTACAACTTGGGACAGACTTTACCAATACTCATTTTTAGCGCTGCACTTATTTATTATAAACCTTGAAAGTATGTCTACATCCAAAAAAAAAATGTAACCTGCTGCAGTTTTCCTGGTCCTTAGATGTGGTGTCTGTCTTAGTTTTCTTTTATCAGGCTAAGAACATTTTCAGCAAGTATAAAGAATACCAGAAAAGCAGTGTAAACAATGTTATCTCTCTACTGAAAATTATTATTCCCATCAGTCCACCTTGTAAGGGGAATGAACAAAGGCAGACATGTTTGAAGCCTGGGTGACACACATTGCTGTCCTATAAATTAGTGCAGCCATCCAGGGCTAGGAAGTATATAAAGTCTGGTGCACACAGGTAGTTTTTTATTTCGTTCAACCCATTGGGCTTTAACAAAAAAACAAACTGAGGGGCTCACTGTACTAATGCTGAGCTTTTGTGTTCTGACAGAGGGACTGACCCCCCACCCACCAGAACACACTGGTCAGTCTCTGTACTAGAGGAGCTTACACTCTAATGTCCCCTCCCCCACAGTCACACACTATTATTATTATACATTTATATATCTCAGACATATATTGCAGCGCTGTACAGAGAACACTGAGCCAGTCACATCAGTCTCTGTACCAGAGGAGCTTACACTCTAATGTCCCCTCCCTCACAGTCCCATCAGTCTCTGTACCAGAGGAGCTTACACTCTAATGTACCCCCCACAGTCACACACTATTATGATACATTTATATAGCTCTGGCATATACCAAAGCGTTGTACAGAGGACACTAAGCCAGTCACATCAGTCTCTGTACCAGAAAAGCTTACACTCTAATGTCCCCTCCCCCACAGTCACATCAGTCTCTGTACCAGAGGAGCTTACACTCTAATGTCGTCCCCCCCCCCCCCCCCCCCCCACATTCACATCAGTCTCTGTACCAGAAAAGCTTACACTCCAATGTCCCCTCCCCCACAGTCACATCAGTCTCTGTACCAGAGGAGCTTACACTCTAATGTCCCCTCCCCCACAGTCACATCAGTCTCTATACCAGAGGAGCGTACACTCTAATGTCCCCTCCCCCACAGTCACACACTATTATTATTATACATTTATATAGCTCTGACATATACTGCAGTGCTGTACAGAGAACACTGAGCCAGTCCCATCAGTCTCTGTACCAGAGGAGCTTACACTCTAATGTACCCCCCACAGTCACACACTATTATGATACATTTATATAGCTCTGGCATATACCAAAGCGTTGTACAGAGGACATTAAGCCAGTCACATCAGTCTCTGTACCAGAAAAGCTTACACTCTAATGTCCCCTCCCCCACAGTCACATCAGTCTCTGTACCAGAGGAGCTTACACTCTAATGTCCCCTCCCCCACAGTCACATCAGTCTCTGTACCAGAGGAGCTTACACTCTAATGTCCCCTCCCCCCCAGTCACATCAGTCTCTGTACCAGAGGAGCTTACACTCTAATGTCCCCTCCCCCACAGTCACATCAGTCTCTGTACCAGAGGAGCTTACACTCTAATGTCCCCTCCCCCACAGTCACACACTATTATTTTTATACATTTATATAGCTCTGACATATACTGCAGTGCTGTACAGAGATCACTGAGCCAGTCACATCAGTCTCTGCACCAGAGGAGCTTACACTCTAATGTCCCCTCCCCCACAGTCACACACTATTATTTTTATACATTTATATAGCTCTGACATATACTGCAGTGCTGTACAGAGATCACTGAGCCAGTCACATCAGTCTCTGTACCAGAGGAGCTTACACTAGGGCCCTCTTGGGCCTGTTAGTGTGATCACCAATAAAGATGCTTTAGTGTTTTTGGCTGGTGGGAGCTGCTTTCAGCTGCGGAGGAATAGTTATAAGTTAGACCACTTACTTCCAGATGACTTCAAGCTGCAGTTTGATGGTACCAAGTTCTGTTATGTCTACTATGATGATTCTTGGCCGAGTAGTAAAGAAGTCTGCACTGTCACATGTCACAACACCAACTGAAATGGTGGATAACCCGCGCAGCTCCACGACCTACCAAAATAGGAGTAAACATCTTAAATACAGCTTCACCATTTATCTGCCAATGGATATGTAATTGTGTTGAGTACAAATTCATTTTCTTTTTTTATTACCGACAACTATTATGTGTTATGTTGTTCAACACAAGACCAGGACAAGGGGTGGGCAGGAGGGGCAGCCGCTCTAGGCATGTTGGTAGGATGGGTCACCCCCTCTGCATGCTCCAGATTAGTGGCTGGCAACCGAAAGGTTAATGTCTGTTCTTACAGCTACTGTAGTCACACTGTGCTGGAATAATCCCACTCACACCCCATTTACCCACAGGTGAGAAACAAAACACAGTGCCTTCTATCTGCTAGAAGGCAAGTGACTGACCACGCATGTGCGGTGCACACTACATACCAACCATGTACAACCAGAGCTAGGGGGCAGAGACTGGGCATGGGGTGGTACACCCATTGGGCACTAGATGAGCCTGTCCTAGTACTGGTACCCCAGGCTGGGCTGATCCCTGCCAACCATTCTATAACCATAAGCCTTTTTGCAGTCCAGGACTACAGAGGTCCAGAAGCAAGGAGGAGAGGTCATTTCTCGTATGCATCTAGAGGTGCTTGCTCGCTCCTTGCTCATTCCTGCTGGAGAGTGGAGACTAGATGTAATCACATTTAGAAAGATGGGGGGGTCATATATTAAACTTTGAATGGCACAACGGTTAATGATCTCAGCATAGTTCCCTGGGGACAGCAGAAGCAAGGCAAAACTCTATATTTGGTAAATTGCTTGACTGTCTTTATAAATTTAATAAAAGAGCTGTAGTGCAGTGGTTCTCAACCTGTGGGTAGCGACCCCTTTGGGGGTCGAATGACCCTTTCACAGGGGTCGCCTAAGACCATCGGGGGGAAAACACATATTTCCAATGTGTAATGAGCAGCTACTGTGTAGAAAGCAGCTACTGTGTAGAAAGCAACTACTGTGTAGAAAGCAGCAGCATTGGAGGTAAAACGACACTTCATGAATTATAATTACTGGGTAAATAATTTTATGGTTGGGGTCACCACAACATGAGGAACTGTATTAAAGTGTCGCGGCATTAGGAAGGTTGAGAACCACTGCTGTAGTGTGTTAAGATATATTCATACCTCCCAACTTTTGAAGATGAATATAGGGGACACATATTAGCAAAAACATGTACACATAGAACACGCCCCCTTAAAGGAGAATTATACAAAAATAAATGATTAGTGCTTTTTTTTATCACTACTACTCCTCTATACTGGCCTTTGAAACTTGCAAACGAAGCAATTTAGTAATTTGATGAAAGGTTTAGCACTGGAAAACACTTTTTGGAAGATAAAAAGTGCATTTTATATACATCTATATAGATCAGACCAAAATGAGGGACAAAAGAGGAGGACAGAGGGAATATGTTCCAAATCAAAGGACAGGCCCTCAAAATCAGGTACAGCTGGATGCTATGTATACTTTCTATAATGTATGCACAAGCAGTATACAAAATTGACTGACCACTTGCAAGAATAGCATTCATAAAAACAAGGACAGGCGACCCCTTATGAGAATGGCTGAACTGGCGTGAGATCAGCGGAACAGAATAAGATGTGGTGATGGTGCGTTTAATCGACACTTATTTGGGAAAATCTGCAAAGGGTGAAGCATCATCTATAAAATCTCCCCTGTAAATTCCAGGCATGTCAGTAAAACATCACTCCTATGTCAGAGGTTCCCCAGCAGATTTATAGGTGTAGTGGGGGGGGGGGGCTGCTATTTATACGCCGCATGCCACTGTGCACAACACTATGTCTATGGCTGGATGCAGAGATTTAATGCAAGGTATGCATAGCTTTTTACCCTAAAGACCTTTAACACTGAGAGATGTTTGGAGGGCAGCCAAATCCCATAACAAGACCCCTTCTGGAGCTCCATATGTTCCTTTACATCTGGAAGGGTTTGATTAACTCTTACGCTGCTTGAATGTAACTCTGCCCCGTAAACCTGGAGCCAGCACTTTAATGTGACAGTAAAAAACATAAATATAGAAGGAAGTTTTATGATTTTTTTTTTTTTGATGAATTATTTTACAGACTTTCTTCCTAAAAGATAAAGAATCCACATTGCCCTCCTCCAGAAACAAAAACAAAAAATTGACTCTTGCAGTAGTCACAAACAGTATTTTTTTTCATTACACTAGGTTGAGTGGTGCAATATTAAAAAATAGTTTCTGTACTATCTGGACTAAGGCTCTATATAGGTTTGCGCTTTGCATAGTTGTTTTAGCTCTGAAGAAGGGAGTACGTCTCCCGAAACGCGTTACCACACCCTGCTGTCAGATTACCGTTTGTTCGGACTGTCACACTGGTTTCCAGCTTGTTTTATCTTGGTTTGTGAGTATACACTTTTGTCATTTTAAATTAATTCCTTTTTATCATGTTAATGCACGAGGAGAGTGCGCCCCTTCTTTGCTTTCTTCCACTAAGGCTCTTCAGTCACACCCAGGGGCGGACTGACAACTCATGGGGCCCCTGGGCAATAGGGGTTCATGGAGCCCCTGTGTCCTCGCCCACACTCAAACCACCACACCCAAAAAAGCCTATGAAAGGTACCAGGGGCATCTCATGGGGCCCCCTACTGACCCCGGGCCCTTGGGCAGTGCCCGAGTACCCGAATGGTCAGTCTGCCCCTGGTCACACCCTCAAACAAAACAATCAAGTAGGTGTTGAAGCCCATCTCTGGCTTGCTGTTAGAATTACCCATGCAGTTGGCCACCACCCCCCTCCTTACTGTGCTGCAAGGGTTACATGTTGGTTTGGATTGGGGAAAATGTATAACTACTTTGCTTCCCTGGAGGCTAGCATTCTCCTGATGTCTGAAGCTTTAGAATATGAAGGGTTCATGCCATCCTTCTATACAATGCAGGGCTGCTGGCCCTGCATTGTACGTGATGAGGTCAGAGAGCTACAACTGGCTGGACGGCAAAGTGAACAGCTTTAAGGGAAAGGTCACACTGAGAGAAGAAGGCCTGCAGAAGTGAGGTTAGGATTTTCTACCCCCCCCCCCCCCCCCCCCCAGCCATAAAAGCATTTAATCCATGCAGTGTGGCGGTGGAGAGAAGGCACTACATAGGCAAATTTAACAGCAGCCCAGAGTGGGTCTTTGAAGTCCGACTGATCTTTCAGTTTAAATCAACTAAGTACATCCCAAGATCATCAAAACAAAAGTTAAAAGTATAGTTTTTGTTAATAGGCAGCCTCAGCCTAGGTAGAAAAGCCTTGTCCCTGCCAACATGCTGTAAGGAAGGGTCACCTGCCCTTCAGGTGGAAGCAGTAGTCTCTCTGCAGAAGTCTGCCCCCAGCTGAACCAGAGCTCTCCCATTAACCGGGAGCATAAGACAATAACCCAAACAAAACACCCAGCTAATCAGTTGTCCTGAAATCTCACCCCGCTCCGTATTTCTGAACATTTGTTTTACAACACAGCCCAACAGACTTTGACATATTACAGGTTTCATTTCTGACAATTAAAAGAAAGACTTGACGCCTCCAGCACTTCCCGATACACATTATTCAACACTTATGTATAAACTTTGCGTTTGGTTTTCTGAGACGCTCAGGATGCATCTTGTCTTATAAGAGTGCCAAACACCCTATGAATTGTTTGTTTTGAGTCAAACTTCAATCAGAATGATATGAGATGATTTAACACTCTAAAAATATCAAATAAACAATGTGCATTTTATATAATTATGATTACAATTTTTTAAAGCACAAAAATCAGTCCACCCTTCTTCTTGGTCAGGGGCGGACTGACAACTCATGGGGCCCCTGGGCAATAGGGGATCACGGGGCCCCTGTGTCCTTGCCCAAACTCAAAAAAGCCTATAAAAAAGGTACCAGGGGCATCTCATGGGGCCCCCTACTGACCCCGGGCCCTCGGGCAGTGCCCGAGTTTCCAAATGGTCAGTCTGCCCCTGTTCGTGGTTGAAAGTGATTATAAAATGGCTATAGCTGAGATCCATAGGGAGAGATTGAGGAGAGAATGACATATGATTTCTACAGCGACATGAGATAAAATGTCTTTGCACAGATTAAAGAGAGAAAATAATAGCCAATGTGGCTACAAAGTCAGCTTTACCAGGAAGTGACATGCTGAGCTTTGTAGTGCAGTATACACATTATACCTTGATTTCAAAGTTTTCACAGAGATTCGGTATAAATATCCTCTCCTCTTCATCCCACATCTGGCTGTCGTCTGTTTCGATTTTGCCTTTTAACCTCCACCTCTGGCGGCCGAGTCGTATTAACACCTACAAAACAACGATAGCGGAGTTATACGAGGGAAATGGGAGAGATACTACACATGTAAGCCTGATTCAGACAACGAAGTAGAAGAACCGTCCTTGTGAGTGAAGCTGGAGTCCACAATGTTATGGGGTCAGCTGTCACAGGTATGGGGTTAACTGTCAATGGTATGGGGTCAACTATCACTGGTATGAGATCCACTGTCACTGGTATGGGATCCACTGCCACTGGTATGGGGTCAACTGTCACTGGTATGGGGTCAACTGTCACTGATATGGGGTCAACTGTCACTGGTTTGGGGTCAGCTGTCACTGTTATGGAATCAACCGTCACTGGTATGGGGTCAGCTGTCACTGGTATGGGGTCAGCTGTCACTGGTATGCAGTCAGCTGTCACAGTTATGGGGTCAACTGTCAATTGGTATGGGGTCAATTGTCACTGGTATGGGGTCAACTATCACTGGTGTGGGATTAGCTGTCACTGGTATGGGATCAGCTGTCACTGATATGGGGTGTCAACTGTCACTCGTATGGGGTCAACTGTCCTCTCCAGCGCTTTGTCTGAAACCACTTCTGGGGGATTTTTGACGTGTGCTTTGGGTCATTGTTCTGCTGGAAGACCCATGACCTCTAACGAAGACCCAACATTCTGACACCGGGCCCTACATTGCACCCCAGAATTCTTTGGTAGTCTTCAGATTAGCATAGCAACCCCAAAACATCAGTGACCCCCCACCATGTGTGACTGGAGGGACTGGATTCTTTTCATTAAAGGCCTCATTTCTTTTTCTGAAAAACAGTAGAATGATGGACTTTACCAAAAAGCTGCCATTTTGTTTCATTTGTCCACAGCACATTCTCCCAAAAGGATTTTGGCTTCCTCAGGTAAGTTTTGGTAAACTCCAATCTGGCTTTTTTTTGTTTGTGTCAGCAGTGGGGTCCTCCTGGGTCTCCTACCATAGCTTCCCTTTTCATTCAGATGGCAACGTATCGTGCGAACTGACACAGTTGTACCCTGTGCCAGAAGTTCAGCTTAAATTTGATTGAGGTTCTTTAGTCACAAAATAATCCTTCATTGCAATCTTTTAGCAATTTTTTCTCATTCATCCACTTCCAGGGAGATTAGCTACAGTGCCATGGGCTGGAAACTTCTTGACAATGTTGTGCACAGTGGACACAGGAACATTAGGATCTATGGAGGTGGACTTGTAACCTTGAGTTAGTCCATGCTTTTCCATCATTTTTTTCTCCAATCCTCAGACAATTCTTTGCGGCTCTTTCTCTCCTCCATGCTCCAGGTGGCACACCGAGACACCCAACAGAAAGGTGGAGGTCATTTTTCACCATTTTAACTGGTTGCCGGTGTGATTTCTATATTATCATCTCCTGGTCAGTGATACACGGACGTTTAATGACAAATTACAGGAGCATCACAAACTTGGAATGGAATTATTTCTTACAATTTTGAGAAAGTGCCAATAATTTAGTCAGTCCATTTTCGGGGTTTTGCATGGAATGTGTCAGATTTGGCTTTTTTTTGTGTGTGTCATACCAATACAAACAAAAGAAATAAACATGAGAATGCCAAAACATTTGTAATTGTAACAATTTTCTGGGTGATGTTGTGCATTATCTGACAGAAATGCAGGGGTGCCAATATTTTTGGCCATGACTGTATAATTTCATACAAGTACAACATTCATTTGTGAGTGTACATCTATTTTCTAATGTTTATAGTCAGTCCGGGTTTTATTGTATTTGTATGTAATAGCATAATAGCAGTGCAGAACTATTATAGGATACATAACAGGACAACTGTGTTTTACAATTTAGGTGACCGACGTCTAAATGAACGTATCCAGAGAAAACGAGCTCAGTCTGTCTTCTATTTGAATCCTTCACCACTTCACTTCTCAGTTCTAGAATCTCAGAGTTTACCGGAGCTGTGTGCCAGACTTGGCGGGTTTTAATGTCTGCCGGAGCTGGTAGTAAAACCCACTTTTAGTAGTTCAGGGAATTGACCGACAACGTTCGTATTCCCCAAGCCACATGTCTCTCCCTAATACCGTCTATCAAGTCAGGACATACATTAAATCCTCTCTCTGAATATATGACTATGCATCTGCAGCCAGGATTGTCCACGATCTCTTGGGCTTGGCATAGCGCTTGCCTGGTTCAAGGGTTCCACAGTAAACACTGCAGAGGATTCTGGGAAAATGAAGTCAGTATTCCATGGTTTATGGACCAGGGCACGGTGTATGGTCTCTGGATGGGAAAAATAAATGGTTACTGTACCTCGTAGTGATCTCCAGGGCAAAGCCGGGCGTAACCCACCAGACCTAGACAAGAGAAAGACAGTTAAACACTCTGAAGATTTTTATGACCCGTTTCCGGTTCATTTCAGCACATTTGTAAATATAAAGGCTTTTTGTTTAAAAATTTAGAGTCGTTTGAAAGGTCATTAATCACTCACAAACCTACTGGAAGATTGTCAGTGATTTAACACCGGTAGTAAATCTGGATGCAAAAATACATTTGTAGTTTTATCTCTGGTGAGCCTTTCTGTTTTGATATAGGGAAGCGATCATTTTGAAGGAATAATTGGTCACATATAAAACACCCTGCTTGTAATACAGCAATGGATAGTTAGAAATGTTTAAACTTGTTTTCAAGGCCGAGAGAGGTGGAGTCCATCTTACAAGATAAACCGTTTAACGCAGTATTAAACCCCAAACCAAACATGTAATATATTGCAGCTTAACAATCATTGGATGTGGTAGCTGCATTAGTTTTGTATTTAGGCTTTTTTTCACCTAGCAATCTGGCCAGTAACACACCTTCTTTGGTAGAGCATCCCCACGCTGGATGAAGGAACACAACACTGCTGAAGTGCAGCCACCTTGTGTACGTATCTGTGATACACTGCGGAACCCTTTCTACATTGTTCTGGAACATTGACTTTAACCACATCCTGACTGCCCTATAGCAGATATACTGCTACAGGGCGGCAGGGGTGCACAAAATCATGTATATATACATGATTTTGTATTTCCGGGCAGGGGGCGCTCATGAACCACATGCCGCCATTCGCGGCCACAGCTGTCAATCACCGGGTCCCGGGCCGGTGATTCCCCGCCGGCGCCCGGTGATTACCGAGCATCTCTGACGGGGAGGAGGACTGCTTTGTTTAGTAACAGTCCTCCTCTATGTCGGGTTGGGCACACTGCACAGCACAGCCATCCAGACCAGTGTGCTTACAGTGAAGAACCCCCCACCCCAGCCCCCTAGTAATATTATTATTATTATACAGTATTTATAAAGCGCCAATAGTTCGCTCAGCGCTGTACATTACAAAGGGGGACAGAACAATACCAATACAATGCAAAACATGAGGGGATCGAGGGCCCTGCTCTTTCGAGCTTACAATCTAGGAGGGACACCAACCCCCTAGTAAAACACTCCCTGCACACAGTTAACCCTTTGATCGCTCCTCATGTTAACCCCTTCCTGCCCAGAGTCATTAGTACACTGTCAGTAATTTTTTTAGCACTGATCACTGTATTGGTGTCACTGGGGATGTCAGTGACACCAAGTCAGTTCCCCTCCAGTGTCAGAATGCCCACCGCAGTCCTGCTATAAGTCGCTGATCACCGCCATTACTAGTAAAAAGAAATTCCAGTATCTATATCGCCATTTTAAATGTTATAACTTTCACGTAAACCAATTCATTTACGCGTATTGAAATTTTTTTTAAGCAAAGACACGGAGCAGAATACATTTTGGCGTAAATTTATGACAAAATTAGATTTTTTAAATTTTTTTACTGTACATGTTTAATAGCAAAAAGTAAAAAAATATAGTTTTTTAATCAAAATTGTACGTCTTTTTTTTTTTAAAAGCACAAAAAATAAAAACTACACATCAAATCCCACCCAAAGCAAGCTCAATTCCTGGGAAAAAAAGGACGTAAATTTAATTTGGGTGCAGCGTTGCATGACCGCGCAATTGTCAGTTAAAGTAACAGAGCGCCGTAACGCAAAAAATGGCCTGGTCAGGAAGGGGGGAAATCCTCAGGAGGGCGAGGGGTTAATGTAAGTTGGAACCAAGCTCCACCTCCCTACCGCTAAACAGTCTAAAGGCAAAACCTCAGTGGTTTCTAGCCCTTTGAGGACCGTAAGGTTTTGGAACGCCAAAAGAATCAATTTTTTTGTTTTTAAAGTTCGTACAATTCAGTTGCTGTAACTAAGCCATTTCATGAAATAATTGGCAAAAAGCTAGATCCATTTGTTGTTTGTTGATAAGAACTAATATTTTGACTCAAACCAAAAAAAAAAAAAAAGAGTTTTAAGTTCTCAATCAGATGATACACGCAATTACAAACATGGGACAAATACGTCCCTTGGTCCTCAGAGGGCTAGAGGCACTGGCGTTAGCTTTTAGAATAGGTTGACCATTTAAAGAAGAGCAGTTGTCACTTGGAATAGAAGATAAGGCCTTGCATACAGCCAGTGTCTAAAATCCAGGGGATCAGCAGGGGTTGGGTTGAAGATTCATGTTGGCCTGAATGAGCAAAATCCACATTCCTCCTCACAAGTACCTTCACACAGTGAGGAGATAGGGGGGCATGTCTGACCAGGTTCGTACGATTATGGAGAGCATTGGTAAGTGGGGTCAAACACTGGTACCCATTCGGATACAGAGCAGAATGCTATACCAGGAGAATGAAGACTATGAAAACGATGACTATGATGTCCATACAAGGATTATCTAAAGGAATATCTATTTATGAGATTTCACTCAGGGTACAAATTTACCTTTCATCTTAATGAGAAATTCCCCCAGATGCAGTTCCAGTGCTCCTTCGATTGTACACATGTCCTACAGGAAAGAAAAAAACATATATAGCATCAGAAAAGACCTCAACATCCCAAGGACATTTCTGCCCCCGGATGACTTGTATTGGTGAGATTGGGGACTTTTGCAACAATCAGGACAAACAGTCCTAGAAAATCATGAAACAGCAGATCTTCAAAATCATTTTCAGTTGTATTTCCGGCATGTTCTGCATTGTGTATGGGTGTTCTTAGGCTAATGGATAGCAGATGTCTGGCCTATCCCTAACAGGACTTGAGTTACAGAACGACCCTTGGGGATGGCAGCGGTGTCATTTACATACATTCATATAATTGGTGTCATTAATGCAACAATGATATCTGAGGTGGTACATTGTTACCAGGTTACCCTGTGCCGGGTTAAGCACCAAAGTGCCCATTCACTTTACTGAGCTGCATTAATGTGGGGAACATGCATTGGTGAGAAACCTTGCAGAGCAATACATGGCAATGCACTAACATGCGTTCAGGGGCGGACTGAACATTTGGAAACTTGGGCACTGCCCGAGGGCCCGGGGTCAGTAGGGGGCCCCATGAGATGCCCCTGGTACCTTTTTCATAGGTTTTTTTGAGTTTGGGCAAGGACACAGGGGCCCCATGATCCCCTATTGCCCGGGGGCCCCATGAGTTGTCAGTCCGCCCCTGCATGCATTGCATGCAACAGAACTGGTGCATGCATCTTTTTTTTATGCACTTTGGTATTTTAGGCAGCCCGATCAAATGAATTAACACAGCACAGATTAATGCGTGTGCACTGAAGTACTGCAGTGGTGTAAATGGGCCCTTAGTCCTCGGTGCCACTTGGTGCAACTTCGCATGCGATTTGCATGTCGTATGACTTGCAAATCGCTTGGCAAGTTGCACCCTATTGTCCGCAATTACAGCGGTCATATCGGTGCGGATCCGGCTTGGTTGGAGTCGCACTACTTTTGGTACGATTTGTACAATTTGTACTTTTGGTATCTGTGTCAGACAGGGGCGGACTGACCATTTGGAAACACGGGCACTGCCCGGGGGCCCGGGGTCAGAAAGGGGCCCAATGAGATGCCCCTGGTACCTTTTTCATAGGCTTTTTTGAGTTTGGGCAAGGATACAGGGGCCCCATGATCCCCTATTGCCCAGGGGCCCCATGAGTTGTCAGTCCACCCCTGCTGTCAGATGTCTTGCAAATCGCACCTCAAATTGGCATGTCATCTGACTTTGAAATCGTGCGACTTCACTATAAATTGCAGGATTTCAAAGTCAGGATCGGTGTGACCGGGGTGTAATTGCCAGACAATTAAGCAGCCTATGTAGTTCATATGTTAGCTGCAAAATCTCCAATTCTTTCACTAAATAGAAATGGCAAGTAAGTCAGTCAGTGTTTAGATGGGGAGGGAGGTGCAGTTCACAGGAAATGCCTAATAATGCCTAAATCCCCCAACAGATGGTGTTCTGCAGCAATGAGGACCTAATTAAAACCTCTTTCTAAGTTTGTAATAAAAAGTAGGAAGCAATTTTTAAATCAGGTCCTTTCTGCTGGCTGGCTGCCTGCTGGGGGAGTTTTTATTAGGCACTTTCAGGAAGGACAGGGATTTAATAAATTTGGATTAGCATAGGAAGGGGATGGGGTGGGTGGATCCTCTTTCTCCAATCTGTTCCCTTGAAATTTTTTTGCAATTGTTTGGGATCTTCCGCCTGCTCTAATGTTTCTTTTCCCCTAAAATTCAGGGTTTTTTTTAATCCATTTTTCCGATCCCAGTGCTGCGGATCTCCTGCAGCCTCTTTCAGTCACTCTCAGCTGTAGAATCAGCTGCACATCATTGCTCTGGACTGACTGATAGTGACATAGCTGCTTGTATTATACAAATGGGGGGTGGGGACAGGGTGACAACGCTTGAGGACAGTTGTCAAGCCATAACAGGAAGTGCCTTTTCTGTTGAATGCTGCAGATATAAAGTCCAACTCTGGATAAATAAAAAAAATATCCCTTGCAGTTGGGCTGTGACCGCACATGCTCATTGCTTGTTTTATTTAGGGCAAGGGTCTCCAAACTTTCTAAACAAAAGGCCAGGTAACTGTCCTTAAGGCTTTAGAGGGAAGGCCAGACTGTGGCCAGTGGGATTAGAAAATGCTCCATCATTGGTTTTAGTGGGAGGAATGGTGACCCATCATTGATATCAGTGGGAGGAATAGTGCCCCATCGTTGGTGTCAGTGGGAGGAATAGTGCCCCATCATTGTTATCAGTGTGAGGAATAGTGCCCCATCATTGGTGTCAGTGGGAGGAATAGTGCCCCATCATTGGTATCAGTGGGAAGAATAGTTCCAAATCATTGGTATGAGTGGGAGGAATAGTGCCCCATCATTGGTGTCAGTGGCAGGAATAGTGCCCCATCATTGGTGTCAGTGGGAGGAATAGTGCCCCATCATTGTTATCAGTGTGAGGAATAGTGCCCCATCATTGGTATCAGTGGGAGGAATAGTGCCCCATCATTGTTATCAGTGTGAGGAATAGTGCCCCATCATTGGTATCAGTGGGGGGAATAGTGTCCCATCATTGGTATCAGTGGGGGGAATAGTGTCCCATCATTGGTATCAGTGGGAGGAATAGTGCCCCATCGTTGGTGTCAGTGGGAGGAATAGTGCCCCATCATTGGTATCAGTGGGAGGAATAGTGCCCCATCATTGGTGTCAGTGGGAAGAATAGCTCCCCATCATTGGTATGAGTGGGAGGAATAGTGCCCCATCATTGGTATCAGTGTGAGGAATAGTGCCCCATCATTGGTATCAGTGGGGGGAATAGTGTCCCATCATTGGTATCAGTGGGGGGAATAGTGCCCCATCATTGATGTCAGTGGGAGGAATAGTGTCCCATCATTGGTATCAGTGGGGGGAATAGTGCCCCATCATTGGTGTCAGTGGGAGGAATAGTGCCCCATCATTGATATCAGTGGGAGGAATAGTGTCCCATCATTAGTATCAGTGGGAGGAATAGTGCCCCATCATTGGTGTCAGTGGGAGGAATAGTGCCCCATCATTGATATCAGTGGGAGGAATAGTGCCCCATCATTGGTATCAGTGGGGGGAATAGTGCCCCATCATTGGTGTCAGTGGGAGGAATAGTGCCCCATCATTGATGTCAGTGGGAGGAATAGTGTCCCATCATTGATGTCAGTGGGAGGAATAGTGTCCCATCATTGGTATCAGTGGGAGGAATAGTGTCCCATCATTGGTATCAGTGGGGGGAATAGTGCCCCATCATTGGTGTCAGTGGGAGGAATAGTGCCCCATCATTGGTATCAGTGGGGAGAATAGTTCCCCATCATTGGTATGAGTGGGAGGAATAGTGCCCCATCATTGGTGTCAGTGGGAGGAATAGTGCCCCATCATTGTTATCAGTGTGAGGAATAGTGCCCCATCATTGGTGTCAGTGGGAGGAATAGTGCCCCATCATTGTTATCAGTGTGAGGAATAGTGCCCCATCATTGGTATCAGTGGGAGGAATAGTGCCCCATCATTGGTATCAGTGGGAGGAATAGTGCCCCATCATTGTTATCAGTGTGAGGAATAGTGCCCCATCATTGGTATCAGTGGGGGGAATAGTGTCCCATCATTGGTATCAGTGGGGGGAATAGTGTCCCATCATTGGTATCAGTGGGAGGAATAGTGCCCCATCGTTGGTGTCAGTGGGAGGAATAGTGCCCCATCATTGGTATCAGTGGGAGGAATAGTGCCCCATCATTGGTGTCAGTGGGAAGAATAGCTCCCCATCATTGGTATGAGTGGGAGGAATAGTGCCCCATCATTGTTATCAGTGTGAGGAATAGTGCCCCATCATTGGTATCAGTGGGGGGAATAGTGTCCCATCATTGGTATCAGTGGGGGGAATAGTGCCCCATCATTGATGTCAGTGGGAGGAATAGTGTCCCATCATTGGTATCAGTGGGGGGAATAGTGCCCCATCATTGATATCAGTGGGAGGAATAGTGCCCCATCATTGGTATCAGTGGGGGAATAGTGCCCCATCATTGGTGTCAGTGGGAGGAATAGTGCCCCATCATTGATGTCAGTGGGAGGAATAGTGTCCCATCATTGGTATCAGTGGGAGGAATAGTGTCCCATCATTGGTATCAGTGGGGGGAATAGTGCTCCATCATTGGTGTCAGTGGGAGGAATAGTGCCCCATTATTGATGTCAGTGAGAGGAATAGTGTCCCATCATTGGTATCAGTGGGGGGAATAGTGCCCCATCATTGATGTCAGTGGGAGGAATAGTGTCCCATCATTGGTATCAGTGGGAGGAATAGTGCCCCATCATTTGTATCAGTGGGAGGAATAGTGCCCCATCGTTGGTGTCAGTGGGAGGAATAGTGTCCCATCATTGGTATCAGTGGGAGGAATAGTGCCCCATCATTGGTATCAGTGGGAGGAATAGTGTGTCCCATCATTGGTATCAGTGGAAGGAATAGTGCCCCATCATTGGTATCAGTGGGAGGAATAGTGTCCCATCATTGGTATCAGTGGGAGGAATAGTGCCCCATCATTGGTGTCAGTGGGAGGAATAGTGCCCCATCATTGGTATCGGTGGGAAGAATAGTGCCCCATCATTGATGTCAGTGGGAGGAATAGTGTCCCATCATTGATGTCAGTGGGAGGAATAGTGTCCCATCATTGGTATCAGTGGGAGGAATAGTGTCCCATCATTGGTATCAGTGGGGGGAATAGTGCCCCATCATTGGTGTCAGTGGGAGGAATAGTGCCCCATCATTGGTATCAGTGGGAAGAATAGTTCCCCATCATTGGTATGAGTGGGAGGAATAGTGCCCCATCATTGGTGTCAGTGGGAGGAATAGTGCCCCATCATTGTTATCAGTGTGAGGAATAGTGCCCCATCATTGGTGTCAGTGGGAGGAATAGTGCCCCATCATTGTTATCAGTGTGAGGAATAGTGCCCCATCATTGGTATCAGTGGGAGGAATAGTGCCCCATCATTGGTATCAGTGGGAGGAATAGTGCCCCATCATTGTTATCAGTGTGAGGAATAGTGCCCCATCATTGGTATCAGTGGGGGGAATAGTGTCCCATCATTGGTATCAGTGGGGGGAATAGTGTCCCATCATTGGTATCAGTGGGAGGAATAGTGCCCCATCGTTGGTGTCAGTGGGAGGAATAGTGCCCCATCATTGGTATCAGTGGGAGGAATAGTGCCCCATCATTGGTGTCAGTGGGAAGAATAGCTCCCCATCATTGGTATGAGTGGGAGGAATAGTGCCCCATCATTGTTATCAGTGTGAGGAATAGTGCCCCATCATTGGTATCAGTGGGGGGAATAGTGTCCCATCATTGGTATCAGTGGGGGGAATAGTGCCCCATCATTGATGTCAGTGGGAGGAATAGTGTCCCATCATTGGTATCAGTGGGGGGAATAGTGCCCCATCATTGATATCAGTGGGAGGAATAGTGCCCCATCATTGGTATCAGTGGGGGGAATAGTGCCCCATCATTGGTGTCAGTGGGAGGAATAGTGCCCCATCATTGATGTCAGTGGGAGGAATAGTGTCCCATCATTGGTATCAGTGGGAGGAATAGTGTCCCATCATTGGTATCAGTGGGGGGAATAGTGCCCCATCATTGGTGTCAGTGGGAGGAATAGTGCCCCATTATTGATGTCAGTGAGAGGAATAGTGTCCCATCATTGGTATCAGTGGGGGGAATAGTGCCCCATCATTGATGTCAGTGGGAGGAATAGTGTCCCATCATTGGTATCAGTGGGAGGAATAGTGCCCCATCATTTGTATCAGTGGGAGGAATAGTGCCCCATCGTTGGTGTCAGTGGGAGGAATAGTGTCCCATCATTGGTATCAGTGGGAGGAATAGTGCCCCATCATTGGTATCAGTGGGAGGAATAGTGTCCCATCATTGGTATCAGTGGAAGGAATAGTGCCCCATCATTGGTATCAGTGGGAGGAATAGTGTCCCATCATTGGTATCAGTGGGAGGAATAGTGCCCCATCATTGGTGTCAGTGGGAGGAATAGTGCCCCATCATTGGTATCGGTGGGAAGAATAGTGCCCCATCATTGATGTCAGTGGGAGGAATAGTGCCCTATTATTGGTGTCAGTGGGAGGAATAGTGCCCCATCATTGGTGTCAGTGGGAGGAATAGTGCCCCATCATTGGTGTCAGTGGGAGGAATAGTGCCCCATCATTGATATCAGTGGGAGGAATAGTTCCCCCATCATTGGTGTCAGTGAGAGGAATGATGTCCCATCATTCGTGTCAGTCATGAACAGGGGCGGACTGACAACTCATGGGGCCCCCGGGCAATAGGGGATCATGGGGCCCCTGTGTCCTCACCCACAGTTAAACCACACAGAAAAAAGCCTAAGAAAAGTACCAGGGGCATCTCATGGGGCCCCCTACTGACCCCGGGCCCTCGGGCAGCGCCCGAGTTCCCAAATGGTCAGTCAGCCCCTGGTCATGAATGAGCAGTAAAGAAACTTGTGACCCACCTCTGTGCACTCCTGGAAGTTCCTGTACAGTTCGATGAGGCTTTCCCGTGATGCCTTTGTAGTAGGGGACAGAGAAAAGGCATGCTTCATGTTACTGGCTCCCACTCGAAGTCTCCATTGAATGCAGTAAGCCTCATATAGCTCCTCGATCTGAAAGACACACAAATCATCTAGATTGGTCACTGCAGCATTGTGAAGGAAGGATGAGACAACATCAGCAATGAGTGGAGCTCCACCATCCTCACTATACAGATAAAGATACAGTGGTGCTAAACAGGTCTCAACATTGCAAGTCTGATGGGCAGATTCACCTGCTAGCCTTTATTTCCAGCAATGGCTGGAGCTCCCTTTCATCAGTTCTGGTTCTTTTGTCGCCCATTAGGAAATTTGAGCACCCACTTTGGGGTGTTCCCAATATTGAAAGTGGGGGGGGGGGCCAAGGAACACCACCTAACAGTTACATGAGGTGTGCTGATCCAAGAACTCAACTGCGATGATCTTTCCAACTCCTTGGGGTAGCCAACTCCGGCACTCCAGCTGTTGTGGAATTACAAAATCCAGGAGGCGTTGCATGATTATGACAGCCACAGGTATACCTTCCAGAAGCAGAGGAATGATGGGGTTTGTAGTTTCACCACAACAAAAGTTCTGAGAGTGAAGATTCCAGGATTATATAGTAAATATCTTTGGAATAGGTACAAAAAACTGAAATACCAGTTGACCTGAGACTATAGAGCCTAGGTCAGCCAATCTTGAAATTTTAATTCTAGCAAGGTTAAATACATGAATACAATGGATTTCAGTCTCTCGTAATCTCTTGTACAGCAGCACTCAGACTGGGCAAGGGACAGTTAGGACTTGGGGACAAATCATGCACGTGTGCTGATGGGGAAGATGCTGACAGGAGGGGAGAGCAAACAGATGGAAGTCTGGGCTAGAACTATGCTCAAATGGCCTTCCACCCATCTTCTAACTCCTATAACAACTACCCTGTAAAAGGAAGATGCTACTTTACTTACCTGTTCTCTGAGCGCTCCAGTCCGGTCATGTGATCGCCTCAGGGAAGAGGAGAGAGAGCGCCAACAATGGATGGAATGCCTGAGCGGTGATGTCACCCGTGCACTTACTATGAGCCATCCGTTGTCGGCTGTCCCTCCTCGCCCCTGAAGCTGGCCGCTGTGAAGCGATCAATTAACCTGATCAGAGTGCCCTGAGAACAGGTAAGTATGAATATCTTCCTTCTACAGGGTAGTTAGGCTACGTTCACACTAGCGTTGTGTGCAGGTGGCAGAGAGGTGTTTGGGAAGCGTTTTTACCGCTTCCCAAACGCCTCTGCCAATTCTGCACATTACAGCACATGGTGCTGTTCTAACGGGAGCGTTTGCGTTGCGTCGCATTGCGTCGCGGCAAAACAGACGCCTCTGGTCAAGTCAGGAGGCATTAAAGCCTCCTATTCTAGTCTATGGTGCCGCTCTGCAAACGCCCGGCGGTTGTGACGCGGTTTGCGGGGCGTTTGCGGAGCGGTAACACCATTCAAACTGCATTATAGGTGTTTGTGGGGCGTTTTTAACGTTCGGCAAACGCCTAGCAACCTCCGCTAAACTGCGCATGCGGCGTTTGCCGAGCGTTAAAAAAACGCTCCGCAAACGCCGGACCAACGCTTGCCAAACGCTATAGGGGCGTTTGGCAAGCGTTGGTAAAACAGCCAAGTGTGAACGAGACCTTAGTATAGGCATTAGAAGAGGGGTGGAAGCAGTTTTAAGCTTGGTAAGTTCTAAACTGGACTTCTACGTGAACTATCCAATCATAGGCAAGGGGGTGGGGAAGTGACCAAGCTGTGTCACTTAACCAATGTTGAGAAAAGACAGGTCATCAGGCTGGCTTGCTAGGGAGACCAGACCTGTAAGTGTTAATTGCAACAGAGAAAAATGAGGTCTCCTGCCAGATAGGGCTGTGCTGTGTGACAGAACTGTGCAAATCTCAGGACTGTATAGATAAAAAAAACTGCAAATCCATTGGCAGGTTATACACCCCCCATATCTGAATGTCACTGCTATATTTAGCTGTTTGCCTGGAGCTCAGCTTTATGTTTTCACAGTTCTGAACGCTGTCATATCGGTATTCAAAACACATTTGACCTAACGATCTAATAATTCTCATGTTTACTGAATGTTCGCATACAGATAACATGGAGATAATCCCTAATGGGAAACAAACTCTATTTTATTTTAGGTTTTAGGACAAAAAGTTTCCTAATTCCTGGCAGCCTCACATCCAAACTATTCTGGAATTCGGTCCAGATCTGGGTTCCAGAGGGAAATATAAAATTCTGATGTGACTCACATTTGGTTGTAGAGTCAGGTACCAGACACACATAATGGGATAACGACCCAGTTGTTTTCTCTTAAAGTTAATTTACGATTACTGGAAAGAGGTTCTGGATGAAGTCGGCAGTGTAATAAACAAGATGGGCCTATTTTATAATGGCAGCATGCAGCCAGCCATGGCAGGTGACCAGATATCTCCCCACCTTTCCCCTGAGCCAGTCCTGACTGTGGATGAGAGACGACAGGTACGAATTTTCCATCTTCTGCATCCAAGAAGCTATTGCATGCATTTCTGTTGGCATCATAAATGAGTCGAAATTACAGCTGGTGTGTAGGGGATGATGGAACCAAACACCAATGTGGGACCTGCTCACACCAATATTAGCCTTGCTTATAGTCCATTTCACTTGTGTCCTCTATGCTACCCTGTCCCCGAAGGCCCTGTACCTGCTCTAAGCTCCTCAATCGCCAACCTTCCTGCAGCGCCCAATTGTAGCACTACCCCCTTAGGAATCGCTAAAGATTTGGGTCTCCCTTTTGTCCTGTACAGCCAGGCAATACACATTTTCCATTCAGAACTTGTACCAGGAGACAGAAACCAGTCCTTGAGCTTGGTTTTGAAGTTCTATTAGAAGTTTAGAACTTGGATGGGGTAATGGGATGCCCAAGGGATAAGCAACTGAGGACAAACGTCCTGAACTATATTACAAGTCTTTACACAGAAATCCTCTTCTGGAGAGTTTGCCAGGATCTCCGAATGTACCTCTCCAATCCCAGATGCTTCTCAAACCGGCTGTAGGGAGGAATCCCTGGACAGGGGATCCAGTAGCTACTACTAGAAGGGCAATAGTTCCAGCTGCAGAGTGGGTTAGGTTTCCCACCCAAATGCTCTCTACCCTCTCTGGCCCTGGGGTTGTAGGTGTACTCACTGAGTCCATCTTCTGTGCTGTTGTTGGGTCAGTGGCTGCTACCAGGCCTATAAGCTGGGCCGCTCCTTCCCTGCCACCAGGTGGTCCTCTCTCAGTCTCCCCTACCCCAGTGATCAGACTGTACATTGTAACTTTGTAGAAGGAGGAGGAAGCATTTCCTCAGTTTCCTTACCTCCGGATTAGACTGTACATTGTAACTTTGTAGCAAGCCACAAGATGAGAGGCTGCAGCAAGGGCTGATCTGTGTCAGAAAGGTCAAAAGATGAGAGGCTGCAGAAGGGGTTAATCTGTGTCAGAAAGGTCAAAAGATGAGAAGCTGCAGCAAGGGCTGATCTGTGTCAGAAGGTTGTGAACACAACCAAGAACAGCACAAGAACCAGGATTTACATGATTGGGTCATTTCTGAGCCGGCATCTCAGTCCAGGAAGAGGATGGTGACTCTGAATGATGCCTGAACAAAGATGGTGCTGTCCTCTGGAGAAGAAAGTAAATGAAGATATTTTCAGCGGGAGTACTATGATCTCTGTGAGAGATAATATGTACCTGGAAACTCTACACATTACTTAGCATGTTGCATTCACCATGAGACATATATTGGATGACAGATTCACTTTAAGTCATCTCTATGTGAATACAGCATGCTGTAATGTGAGAATATTTTCCTCATATCTGTTTAGCATCCTCAAAACTTGTCATTTGGAACAATGAACCTTCTGATGGCCATTTCTGGAGCTCAGGAATGCGGTAGGGGGGTCATTATCTTACTGACGACCTTCAAATTACAGGCTGAGGATGGAGCTATTTCCTGAAAATGCTACAAATTCCACCCAGGCAAATAGCCAGTGAGGATTGCTCCCTAATGACAGAAGATGAATCAGGAGAGGGACACACCGGCTGATAGGGTAGTAGCAAGTAACATGTTGCGAAGAGCCGGCATCCGAAGAGCCGGCATCCGTGTAACGGAGGACCATGGTCTTTTGTTCATCTGTGGCCATCAACGAGGAACCATTCTTAGGTCTTCTCCATGGTTCTTAAGAAGAAGCATATAAGTTCTAAAAATATTCTGCCATTAAGTAGGACTCTATGAATGCTGCGATTTATCTCTGCGTAACAGAAGGACGCTGTGTATCAGCTTGTGTATAACTTAAGCAAGGTTACAGGGTTACAGCTGAAGCTGAAGCGCTTTTGGCGTTAAACTTCCACTCGCTGGAAACAATTAAATCTGTACTGGCGATGGTTCAGATTCAAGGCCAGCCAAACGAAGAGATTGGGGGTAGCAATCTTCATGAATGATCGGTTGGCATCCCTCAAGGTTTTACAGCATGCTGGTAAATTCCTGCATCATGCTGACTGCTATGAAGCTAAATGTAATTTGTTCATGGAAAATATTATACCATAGATAATTCCTACATGCCCATCAGAAGTGTTGAATCCCCCGCCAGGGTTTTTTGGAGTGATTCACCCTTCCTATGTGTCCTAGTGACCACTGTCTCCAGTATAGTGATCGAAATCAAATAGTTCAGAGATGTAACTCAAATAGGAAGTGATGGGAAAGCTTCTAATGGACAGCCTCACAATCAGCTAGCCTTCAGTTAGAGGGAAAACAATTAGACAATCTCCAGTTGGAGGGAACATGATTAAACAGGGCTCTAGTTGGAAGGTACATGATTGGATAGCCACCAGTTGGATGGAACATGATCAGATAAGTCTTCAGTTGAATGAAACATGACTGGGTAACTGCCAGTTGCAGGGAATATGATTAGAAGACCTCTAGTTGTGGCTTATACAACAGAGTGGCCTCCAGTTGCAGGAAACACAATCAGATGGCTTCCAATTGGAGCGTAACATGACTGGATGGCCTACAGCTGGAGGGAACATGATCAGATAAGTCTCCAGTTGAATGAAACATGATGGGGTGGCTTTCTGTTGCAGGGAATATGATTAGAAGCCTTCTAGTTGGGCTTATATAACAGGGTGACCTCCAGTTGCAGGAAACCCAATTGGATGGCTTCCAGTTGGGGCGTAACATGACCAGATGGCCTCCAGCTGGAAGGAACATAATCACATAAGTCTCCAGTTGAATGAAACATGATGGGGTGACCTCAAGTTTCAGGGAATATGATTGGAAACCCTCAGTTGGGGCAAATACATCAAGGTGGCATTCAGTTGGAGGAAACACAATCAGATAGCTTCCAGTTGAGGCATAACATAACCAAATGGCCTCCAGTTGAAGGGAACATGATCAGACGGGCCTCCAGTTGCAAAGTGTACGATCACAAGCTCTCCAGTTTATGATAACATGACTGAACCACCAGTTACAAGGAACACAATGTGTCAGCCTCCAGTTGGAGGGAATATGAGTAGACAGCCTCCAGTTGGAGGGAATACGATTTGACAGCCTCCAGTTGGAGGGAATACGATTTGACAGCCTCCAGTTGGAGGGAATACGATTTGACAGCCTCCAGTTGGAGGAAATACAATTAGGTAGTCTCCAATTGCAGAGAACATGATTTGATGGGCCTCCAGTTGGAGAAAAATACCATGGTGTGGCCTCCTTCCTCTGCTTGCAAAGGGCTACACAAATGTTGCTTTCTTTTATAGTTTAGAGGTGTAAAGAAAGGATGTGATTGGCTCTTTCAGCTCATACATCATATGACATTATAAGAAGACTCAGCACACCGACTCCTGTCAGCTGCCGCCACTCTGCTGACCGCAACTATTTAACAAAATCGAACAAATGTGTGACAGGAATCCATTAGTCACGGCACATGTATGTAAAGAATGTGTGAGTGAGAGAAAATGACATCTGTCCTCCAGATGTGACAACGACCATATCTCTGGTTCCAGATTGGCACTCCTGTCTGCCTCACTAAAGAGAAACTGTAACCCATGCATAAAAATGACCCGACCAAAATTCTGGGCAAGACAACCAGATCCCCTAGGAACTAGTGACTACACTGCAGTAGGATACACAAAGCACCAATTTCCTAGTTGACAGTCTATATATTTACCTGGTGCGATAAGCTTTTTCTCACCAAATTTGGACAGATAGGTAGAATCTTAATTTACAAGCGCACTGTTTACACACTTACATTCACATTTTTCAGTTTCTTATTACCAAGTAAAATTCCTGCCTGAGAGCAGACCCAAGATGCCTTTTGACCTCTATAAGCAAAAAAAAAAAAATCCTTCTATGTGTGCCCTTCTGAAACCAGCTTCACTGTGATACTAGCCTGACTTTGGAACTAGGGGCTATTAAAGGTTCAACATGGATAACAGGTTATTTAATTAGCCATATTCTCTTTTTTTTCTGGATTATGTGTCTGTTTGGCTGTGCCCACTCCCTCAGATTTTTCTGGTTGCCATGATCTGCTCATATATGAAGCCCCAAAGTATACAGATGTATGTAGAGATCACAAATTCACTTACTTTACTGATGTGGAATTCCAGTTTCCGGATGTGTCTTTCCATTAAACGGATTTCCTTAAAAAAATAAAGGACAAACAATTAATATACAGCAAGAACTAGAAGTTCAAACATAAATGGGTAATGGCAAAAAGAGGTAAAAAAGTGTGGGACTTACTTTATCCAGATCATAAAAAAAACCCTGCAATAAAGGAAAGGTAAAGTCAGTGTGCAATAAATAGATAGATAAATACATAATACCATGCACACTTATTTTCCCTGCACAACCCTCTACAAACAATATTGGGAACCCTTTCCTTGTGTGACTTAAAATACTTAAGGGATCGATGTCTGACCACACAAACTCAATAGAAATCTATAATGCAGCTTTTCTCATCCAGGGTTCCCAGGAATCCGAGGTTTCATCCACAGATTGCTAGGTGTTCCTTGAGAAGACAGAGGTGACAAACTGATCTGCTACATTCACTAACCACAATTGTAAGGAGTCACTTCTCCAATGACCACCAATGTAAAGGGTCACTTCTACAATAACCTCTAGTGTAAGGGGACAATCCTACGTTGATCACACATCTAATGGGTCACTTCTTCAATGGTTCCCTTGTGTAAGGGACCACTTCTCCACTGACCACCAATGCAAGGAGTTACTTCTCCAATGACCACCCATCTAAGGGGTCACTTGTACAAAGACTCCCAGTGTAAAGGGTCACTTCTCCACTGATCAAAATAAAGGGTCACTTCTACAATAACCTCCAGTGTAAGAGGACAATCATACATTGACCATATATCTAAAGGGTCACTTCTTCAATGGCCCCCTTGTATAAAGGGTCACTTCTCCACAGCCCACCAATATAAGGGGTCACTTTTACAATGACCCCCAGTGTAAGGTGTCACTTCTCTACTGACCATCCATCTAAGGGGTCACCTCTCCACTGATCACCAATGTGAGGGGTCACCTCTACAATGACCCCCAGTGTAAGGGTCCCTTCTCTATTGACTGCCCATCTAAGGGGTCATTTCTCCACTGACCAGCCATATAAGGGGTCACTTCTACAATGACCCCCAGTGTAAGGGGTCCCTTCTCTACTGACCTCCCATCTAAGGGGTCAGTTTTCCACTCTCCAGCCATCTAAGGGGTCATTTCTACAATGACCCCCAGTGTAAGGGGTCACTTCTCCACTGACCACCAATGTAAAGGACCACTTCTACAAAGAGGAGACTCCTACATTGATCATGCATCCAATGGGTCACTTCTTCAATGACCCCCTTGTGTAAGGGGTCACTTCGACAATGACCCCCAGTGTAAGAGGTCACTTCTCCACTGACTGCTCATCTAAGGGGTCACTTCTAAAATGATCCCCTGTGTAAGGGGTCACTTCTCCACTGACCACCAATCTAAGGACTCACTTCTACACTGAACACTAATTAAAGGGTCACTTCAACATTGAACACCAATCTAAAAGCTCACATTTACACTGAACACTAGTCTAAAAATTGCAATAATGTGATCAAAATTCAGCCAGTCCAGCAGGGACCTGCCGAACTTTGACTATTATGTGGCCTCCCCCAGTTAACAGAAGCCGATTAAAGAGACGTGGAAACAATTTCCAATGATCAACAGAAGGGTTACAGGGGTTTCTATTGCTGTCTGTGTTCCCACTGGGGAGATGAACCCTCTTTGCCCTGGTAACCTGGTGTCATCAAGACAGACAGTGATGAGGAATCCAGAATGTTATAGTTGTTGTTGGAATCGTCCTATTGGAACACTTGTGTTCCCTTACTATGAAGGGATTTCCTTCCACTTCCTGTTGTGTCTCTTAAGGGGGGCACAGGAAAAAAAAAGATGACATTCTTTTCATATTCTTTTCAAAATTACAAAATAAAACACTTCCCATACACTTTAAGGACCTCTGTCCCAATAGGGGACTTTCTATATTACATCGGACTTACAGTTATTCTGGAAATCCCCTCTTAGTTAGAATACAGGAAAACAAATTAATAAATGAAAACATCAGGACACATAGCAGTTTGAGTGGCTGATATTATGGCAGGACAATAGAAGTGGAGAATCCCGCTCATGGCAGGCAGAGAGCCAGTTCTACTCACGACAGGAAAGCTTTCAGTCTTACCAGCCTGGAGTTGCGTTTTAAGTCCTTCTGCTGGCCGGCCAGGAAATCCAGCTGGGTTTGATGTTCTTCAAGGTACTCGCTGCAAAATGTGCCAAAAACATTCCAGTTAGGTGCACGCCAAGCACAACACAGGTCACAGATTACAAGGGGGCACAGCTGGATGTCAAGGCTGGAGATGGTAATTGCATAGAAAAATCCACCACTTAAAGACACGTGTATATAAATCTATGGAATAGCCTTCAGGTTTCATGGGTTTGGGGTTTAAAAATTACAAGATCAACATCACCCATTGATCAGATTCAACCACTCTCCCAACTGAACTTCCATTATAACCTCTTCAGCTCAGGAAGGTTTTCCCCCTTTCATGCCCAGGCCATTTTTTTCTATTTATCACTGCACTACTTTAACTGGTAATTGTGCAGTCATGCAACGCTGTACTCAAACAAAAAATTTATACCATTTACACCAGATCCACCGCTGAGCAGGGCAGTTGTCATAGCAACATGACATCACAGTGTGCACCCTGCCCCTTGCAGCAGGGGCGTAGATAAGGGGGTAGTCAGGGGGGTCTGAACCCCCCCCCCCAACAGGAGAGTTACCAACCATCCCTGCAGCCCTCATAATTTCCACTCGCGCCCGTGCTGCAAAGAACAAACCTGACGGCTCAGTTTTCTTTCTAACCCCCCGCCCCTCTCCTTCCCACTGCCGCTGTGTTCTTCTCAATGCCCAGCCCCTCCCTCCATCCTCCGCACCAATAGGAGAAGAGGGGAGAGCGGCTGAGTCTGCTCTGCCTTCCCCTGTGCCCGCCCACACTCCAGTCCGTGCAGCTTCAGAGGAGGTGTGGGCGGGAAACTGAACACAGCAGCCAACAGCTCTGATAAAACTGAATGAGTCACATGAGTCCAACCTACCTTCCTTCCACCCACCCCTCCCTTCTTTCCTTCCACCCCTTCTCCCTTCCACCCACCCCCTCCATCCCTTCCTTCCACCCACCCCTTCCTTCCTTCCTTCCTTCCTTCCAGCCCTCCCTTCCTTCCTTCCATCTACCCCTTCCTTCCACCCCTCCCTCCCTTCCTTCCTTCCACCCACCCCTCCCTCCCTTACTTCCACCCACCCCTTCCTTCCTTCCGCCCCTCCCTTACTTCCTTCCAGCCCTCCCTTCCTTCCTTCCAGCCCTACCTTCCTTCCATCTACCCCTTCCTTCCACCCACCCCTCCCTTCCTTCCTTCCACCCACTTATTTCTTCCTTTCTTCTACCCACTCTTCCTTCCACCCACCCCTCCCTTCCTATCTTCCATCCACCCATTTCTTCCTTTCTTCTACCCATTCTTCCTTTCACCCACCCCTCCCTTTCTTCCTTCCACCCACCCCCCCTTTTCTTCCTTCAACCCACCCCTCCCTTCCTTTCTTCTTTCCATCCACCCCTACCTTCCTTTCTTCCTTCTATCCACCCCTTCTTTCCTTGCTATGGAAATTGTACATTTCTCATTTTTTTGTAGACATACAGTGACTATGCTCTGAGTCATAGCAAAACATGAGATTCGGACCTCGGCCAGAAGAGAATTTTAGTGACCAGACCTCCTTGAATTTTAATTCAATACCTCTGCTCTAGAGCAAATAGAGCAGAGTCCCTTCACAAAGAATTAGATAGACTGTGAACTTCAGGACACCAGCCAATGTTCCCTCTACACAAGCACACAACTGACACTCTAGCACCAGAGGAGTAGCAGCAACCCAAAAGTCGAGATCTCTCACAGCAGTCTGTACTCACAAGTGTCCTTGGAAAGTTGGTTGCCTCCTTCCAACATCCATGCAACACCTTTTTCAGTGATGCTAGACTAGATCTTCAGATGACAGCCCCCTCAGTCAGCTCTCTGTAACTTCAGAAAACAGGCCCTGAGGTCGCCCACCTAAGGCCTCAGCACGCCACAAGCACATGACAGGATAGCCTAGGTGAGCAATCAACTCCCTTAGGCTGAGTTCTTCTTCTACAGGACAAGACCCAGAAGCTCTCTGTGTCTCAGAGTATTTATACAGACTCCCAGCAGACATCTAGGCCATGCTCCCAGGGATTGGCCAGGCCTGTGTAAATATTCATGCTGCCTATTTGTCTTGTCCAACACCAATGTTCTAGAGCACAAGCGGCAAACACAAGGCCCCTGGGTCGTATCCGGCCCGCCAGGCCTTGTCATGTGGCTCTTGCAGCAACCACTGGTCACTACCTCCTGCTCTCACCCTCTGCTTTCCGCTGTCATAAAACAGGTTGTCTTGGCAACAGGCATAAATATTTCCCTCCACTTGCTTATAGCGTCTCTCCTTCGTCCCGCCAGAGGCACAGGCTTTTGTGTGTAGCTGTGAGCATGTGCGGTTGGTCTGGTATAGCCTGTCAGTGGTGGAGGTACATGACAGCTCAGGTGGTTGGTGAGTGCAACTCATTTTAAGATTTGGTGCGAAAAAAACATATCACACTAGGACAGAACTGGATTCACTGATACTGGAGCTCAGTACATGGATCTGCCAGGGAGGTACTGGAGCCGAGCCGAGCCGGGGGGGGGGGGGGGGGGGGGGGGGGGTAGTGGGACTTGGGCTGTGGAGACAAGTGTGTGCAGAAGTTGAGGAGACGGGGGGAAAGTGGTGGGTGCAGAGGTCAGAACTCAAGGAGGGGTGGAAATGAGATGTTGCACACTGTACATAGCGCACTCCTGAACCCTGCATTCTGTATATAGCGCACTCCTGAACCCTGCATTCTGTATATAGCGCACTCCTGAACCCTGCATTCTGTATGTAGATACAACTGGCCCTTTGAGGGCAATTATACAAACTTGCAGCAGTTGAAAAGACCACAATATTCAACACAACTCCACTGATTACAGTGAGCACAACTAAATTTACCTAAGCCTAGCACCTAGGTGGGTGCTACATGATCACACCCAATTTGATTATCAGTTAATGACACAGCTTACCTCACTTTGCAGATCATCTGCCTATTGTCCAGCCAGTCTCTGTTGATCACCTGCCTGCTGACTAGTCAATTCTGCTGATCACCTATCTTCTTACTAGCCAGTCTCTGCTGATCACCTTCCTGCTGCCCAGCCAGTCTTTGCTGATCACCTAACTGCTTCCCAGCCAGTCTCTACTGATCACCAACTGCTGCCCAGCCAGTCTTTGCTGATCACCTAACTGCTTTCCAGCCAGTCTCTACTGATCACCAACTGCTGTCCAGCCAGTCTCTGGGGATCACCTACCTTATGACTAGCCAGTTTCTGCTAATCACCTACCTGCTGACTAGCCAATCTTTGCTGATCATCTGCCTGCTGACTAACCAATCTCTGATGATCACCTACCTGCAGACTAGCCAATCTTTGCTGATCACGTCTGCAGACTAACCCGTCTCTGATGATCACCTGCCTGCTGACTAGTCAGATTCTGCTGATCACCTACCTTCTTACTAGCTAGTCTCTGCTAATCTCCTGCCTGTTGACTAGCCAGTCTCTGTTGATCACCTACTGCTGCCCAGCCAGTCTCTGCTGATCACCTGTCTGCTGACTAGCCAGCCTCTGCTGATCACCTGCTTGCTGCCCAGCAATTTTCGCCTGATTGTCCACCAGCTGCTCATCCTGGTCAGACTCTGCAAACATTCAGCCTATCTACCCATACTAGCTTCTTGCAAGATCTATGACACTCCTGCCAATCTGTGAATTTGCACCACTTGTTCCAGGAGCCCTGAGCTGACGGTGTAAGAGAGGCTGTCTTCATCCTGACAGGCTTCCCCACCTGGCACAAGACAGGTACTTTGTTTGTAGTTTCATGATCCATTCCTAGATTGTAAGCTCTGAGGAGCAGGGCCCTCCTATCCCTCTTGTATTGAACTGTATTGTTGCTGTCAGGGGCAGACTGACAACTCATGGGGCCCCCGGGCAATAGGGGATCATGGGGCCCCTGTGTCCTCGCCCACACTCAAATCACACCCAAAATAACCTATGAAAGTTACCAGGGACATCTCATGGGGCCCCCTACTGATCCCGGGCCCTCGGGCAGTGCCCGAGTTCCCCAATGGTCAGTCCGCCCCTGGTTGCTGTATTGTCTCCCGTTATATTGTAAAGCGCTGAGCAAACTGTTGGCGCCATAAATCCTGTATAATAATAATAATAATAATAATAATAATAAAACAGCAGACAAATGATTCACCCCAAGTACAAAGAACAATTTTATGGGCAAAACTTTTGTGACCCCTTTAGTATGGAATACTTCTGAAGTTGCTGTTTGTCTGAGCACTGTGGAGGGACCAAAAAGACAGCATTCCACATTGTCACGTTATGACCCACAACACGCCTGCCTACATTTACATCCATGTGTGTACAGCTTGCATTTTTCTATTTCTGGCTATCGATACAATGCCTGATAATGCCCTGACAATGCCCAATGTGAACAGTGAGATTGCAGAGTGTGCGATCATTTGGATCATTTATGGTTTCAGGTAGTTAGCAGTGACAGGACGATCTTCATAGGGAATGTGATATACAGCCTGCCAGAGAAATGGATGGAGAGAGAGGAATGTAAAGATTAAAGAACATGGTGGCGGCGCCCATAAGCTTTCCATCTAGAGCCTTATCAGTTCCATAGGAGAGATATTGTGAATTAATGAGGCGTTTTAAAACAAATTTCTCAAAGCCACACACCACATACAGAGACAGATGTTTTAAAGCAGGAGGGGATGCTTTGAAGTTCCATAAAATGAAGTTATATTTCACCATCTGAAAGAAGTCCACATGTGATCTTTTATTCTGGGACGCAGAGGGCAAATGTTTGTAACCGTTCCCTAAGCTATCCGTACACTGATCGAACCTCGGCCAGGTCCAGCAATGACTGGACGAATTTCTATCAGTGTGTGGTCTCCCCTACTTGACAGAAGTCGATGGTGTAATGCAGGGGCGGACTGACAACTCATGGGGCCCCTGGGCAATAGGGGATCATGGGGCCCCTGTGTCCTTGCCCAAACTCAAAAAGGCCTATGAAAAAAAGGTACCAGGGGCATCTCATGGGGCCCCCTACTGACCCCGGGCCCTTGGGTAGTGCCCGAGTTTCCAAATGGTCAGTCCGCCCCTGGTGTAATGGATCTCTGTTGGAGGGACATGTTACAAACACTTTCATCGATTAGAGGCTGCTGCCTGTTAATCAGCTGCTGCCGCTGATCAGTATATTCTGACAGCTGTGGGTGCTGCTGCCAGAATATAATATCCTGGCGGGGGAGATTTCTCCATTCACCTCATTTGTGAAGAAATTTGTTTATTTGATTCAGCCTGCTAGCTGGCCCATGTATGACCAGCTCTACTCTTTTCAAAATATTAAAATGTAAGCTTCAGATACATTGTACAGAAATACTGAAGAAGAAAAAAGGAGACCGCAAAAAAGTGATCAGCAATCCTGCCTTGCAGCGCTGGGGCCCTGGGCTTAACATAACAATGGACAGCATCCTCATAGCGTGGGGTACCCACATCCCCTGTTTGTTTGGGCTTCCTGCCATAGTAAACTGTAAGCTCCTCTGGGACAAGGTCTGACTGATGCAATGTTCTCCGTACAGCACTGCTGTATATGTCAGTGCTATATAGCAAAGTATGTACACGATGCTGTCTTACTGCAGGCATACAACATCCGTCACTCAATACAGATGGGGTGAGTTAACTGAAATAGTATCTCATGAAACGCATCGGTCCTCACACCTGTTTCTGGTAGAAGAAAATGGTAAAATGGAAGTATAGATTACCTGGGTCAGGCAGAGGGACACCCTACCAGAAATGTGAATCTGCTACCTCACGTGGACTGAACCGGGGGGCAGCTGCTTGTCAGAGGATCCCCTTTCTAGATGGGCCCCAACCATGAAGAATTCCAAGCCGGCCATGTAAAGTAAACTCATACTCATAGCCTGTCTTCTCGACACTTCTCCAACATTTCATACATAATATTACAGTCAGGCCTAGTTCACACTGGCATTGAAAGCAGGCATTTGAGGGGTGTTTTAACGCCTACGCAAATGATAATATGGACAGCACACAGTGCTGGAAGTGTTAGCATTGCTTCGCTTCAAAACTGAAATCTGAAGAAGTTTGAAGCCTTTCAATGCCTCCCATTCAAGTCATTGTTAACGCTCTGCAGGCACGGTTGCTGTGCGGTCACGGTGTGATTGTGGCACGTTAATAACATTACAGTTTATTATAGGCATTTGTAGTGTGGTTTTAACGCATCTTTAACGTGCGTCACATGTGCCAAAAATGCACATAGGGTACATGGGGAGCATTTTTAACGTTCGTTAAACGCAAGTCAGATGCACCTATTAATGCTATTTGTGCGTTTATTAAGAGTCAGCATTTTGAGTCAAGTGTGAACAAGTCCTTAGATATCTTGTAACGGAACCGACCCCAGACTGCGCTTGAGTAATTCTGTTAGACTACCGCTTCCCTGTCGGAACACCGACAGCAGACACCACCGCTGACCATACATGAATAGACGATACCAGTCTGAACATTGAACCAGGAAGTAGACTAGTTTATTTTAACACAGATACAAGATATATACATTCAAGGGAACAATCCCCCCACCCTGCATAATGACACAGGGCGGGGCAATCTACATTTACACCAGCATAATGACACACCAGCAGACAGTCCCATCAGGAGGGAATCTCCTGGAGACACCCCCCCCCCCCCCCCACCAAGCCAATACACATAAACACATACATCCCATAATAGTTTGCTCCCAAGCAAGATACACAATAGAACAATGGGATGCAACCACATGGCATTAAACAATCCACAACCCCCCACCCAAATATTAGGACAGATCACCCTGTACCCCTAACAGGCACAGGGTGACTTACACATAATAGGGATATGGGGAGCTGAGACAGGGGTCTCCCCACCTCTCCAAAGTGAGCTGTGTTCCATGGGCCCCCCACCCAAAGTGACTCCCTTCACATATCTAAATAGGCAGCTACAAGAAACTATAAAACATACATTGTTTAGACCAAAGTTTTGCTTTTGAAAAACCTTTAATAGGTTATCCACTTAAGGACCGCCTGCCTGCAATGTATTGCGGACGGGCAGCCTGCACAGGCACAGCAACTTACCTGTATGTTACTGGCCCAATGTACACAGTGGAAGTTTGTCAGCGGGTCCCTGCCAATGATTCATGGCCAGGACCTGCTGATCGGCTGAGTCCAATCACAGCCCAGAGCCCTGTGTTGACAATCAACACAGGACTCTTTACAGAGGGAACAATCTCTTTGTTTCTTCTCCCTGCAAAGCAGGGAGAAGGAACAAAGAGGTTTTTAGTAAAAAAGCAGCACATAATACACACATTAACACTTGTTAGGCACACAATTTAACCCCTTGATTACCCAACATGTTAACCCCTTCCCAGCCACTGTCATTAGTACAGTGACAGTGTATAGTATTATCACTGATCACTGTATTAGTGTCAATGGTGATGTCAGTGTCAGTTAGTCAGTTTCCACCCAGTGTCAGTTAGTGTCAGATTATACTATCAGCATGATCACAGTCCCACTATAAGTCGCTGATCACCGCCATAAATAGTTTAAAAATCTTTTTAAAAATCTCAGTATATGTACCATTGTTTGTAGATACTATAACTTTCACACATACCAATCAATATACGCCTATTGGGGTTTTTTTTTTTTTTACTAAACATGTAGCAAAATACATTTTGGACTAAATTTATGATGACTTTAAAAAAAAAAATTATTGGATATGTTTTATAGCAGAAAGTAAAGAATTTAGTTTTTTTTTTTTTTTCAAAATGTTCCATTTTTATAAAATGAAATAAGAACCAAGTGGTGATCAAATACCACCAAAAGAAAGCTCTATTTGTGAGAAAAAAATGCTAAAGATTTTATTTTGGTACAGCATTGCATGACCGCGCAATTAGCAGTTAAAGTAGCGCAGTGCCAAAGAGTATAAAATGGCCTGGTCATGAAGGGGGTAAAACCTTCTGGAGCTCAAGTGGTTATCACTATGTCTTAAATAAAAACTGTCTGTATTGCGGTCTGCCCCCCTACCAGAGAGATTCACCATCAGGTAACATTCCAGGTCACCAATGTCACCAGAAAAAACTGATGGAGATACTGTTACTGTGACCAGTGTGGAACAATAATGGCCAATGTAGGAGCAACATATACTGTAGACAGCTTACTTTAGTCCTTTCCTTAAGGCATCAAATATTTTCTTGACTTGGTGGGGATGCGGGTCCAGTCTGATGGATCCTTTCCGCAGTGATGGGTACAATTTTTCTGAATGGACAGACAACTTTGATTTTATGGAGCTTCTCCGGAGCGACTGCCTGAATAACACATGAAAGGAACACATCAATAGATACAGCAGGCACAAGTGCTAAAGGTCTTCAATTTATGAGGAGCTCATGATAGTTCGTGTTACCCTGAGTGTCTTACCTAGACCTTCATCAACTGCAACTGAAGCTTGTCTACAAATTAAAGATTTATATCAAATAATTTCAACTGGACAGCTGCTGAAATAAAATCAACTGGAATTCCTGGTCTCCAATCTGGACTTGGCAGAGCTTGCAGGGTGTTAATTGCCCTCCGTGGCCCCATGTGATACCACTTGGGTCTAGTGAGCAGAAAAAGGACACAGAGTTACATGGGCCTCATACTTGGAAGTACAGTGTATTTCACTTGGCTCTGGAGGGTGGGCAGTGCTTATCTCATATAGGGAAATTTCTTTAACTTGTCTGATTTACCGTCCCCCAGGCAACGGCCAGTTAGTGGCCTTCCTAACATGTAAGATAACCAGACTGAGTTCCTGTCATCCAGTGTGATCCTTGTCTAAGGCTGGACATAGATGATTTGGTTTGATTAGCCAGAGGACCGATTGAAGAAAAAATGAACGGACTTCCCCATCCACACAAGGGAGGTGGATGCAGGAATCCTCCAAGCTATGTTACTGTTATTCTGGCAGCAGACAGGCAGCGGCTGAATTTGGATCCATATATGGCCAGCTTAAGTGTGTATTTATTACAATAAATGAAGAAAAAGACTGCTTCTCTGCCTGACCCTGGGAACAATATTGATTTACTATGGAAACAAAAGCCAAACTCCACTTTATTGGTAATTTTTTAAATCCATTGCCCAGCGCTTCAAAAAAAAAATAAAGTGGTGGGCCCTATCAAACAGAGTTATGTAGGGCATACACGAGTTGAATTCCGAAAGAATTTTCTTTCGAAAATCGTAACTAAGAATTTTTGTTTGAATTTCGCACCATTAGTGGGCCGATTTGTGTGTGGCCATTGAATTTGAGTGATCAGGCATGTTGGAAATTTTTTGAAAAACAAACTAATTTTTAATCGTTGATGGAAGAATCGTGCAGGAAATATAATTGAAAAAGATATGAGCATAGGCCGGAAAGAAAATAAGAATCCCAGAAACATAATTTCTATTCTTTAACAACATGAGGTGAAATTGGAGGCTTGGTTGGTAAAATTTTGAAATCAATGGTGGCCTCATTGGATTACAAAACACATGAAATTTTCAATTTTCGAAAAAAATATCATTCAGAATCCAACCCATGTGTGGTCTGCATTACATGCATCAGGTGACAGCTTCTCATCAGGCTTCTTTCAGCCAAATTGGCCAACAATCTAACATCCATGGGGAACAACAGACAGTCCATCCAGGGCTCATTCGGGAACAGATTTGACCTTATCCAGTCAATATCAATCGGCTCTCAATAGACTAGAGTTGGAGCTGATCACCCACCATTCCCTATACAGGAATGGCTGCCTACTGGGGCAGCACAGTGGCTAAATGGTTAGAACTTGCGCCTGGCAGCACGAGGATCATTGGTTCGAATCTCAACCACGGTACCACCTGCCTGGAGTTTGCATGTTCTCCCTGTGCCAGTTTCCTGTGGGTACTCTAGTTTCTTCCCACCCCCCACAGACATGCTGGTAGGCTAATTGGCTCCTGTCTAAATTGGTCCTAGTATGTGTATGTATGAATGTAAGTTAAGGACCTTAGATTGTACGCCCCTTGAGGGTTAGGGACCTTAGATTGTACACCCCTTGAGGGTTAGGGACCTTAGATTGTACACCCCTTGAGGGTTAGGGACTGATGTGAATGTACAATATATATATGTAAGCGCGGCATAAATTGATGGCACTATATAAGTACCTGGAATAAATAAATAAATACTGCAGACACAGATACCTAAAGGCAATGCAGAAACAATCCACTCTAGATTATAGACAGTTTTACATTATTGTTCCCCTTCATTTTATTTTTAATCACTTAGGAATGTACCATTGTCTGGGTTTCACATGGTGCCTGAATTCCGTACAATTACTTACTATATGCCATAAACATCCTAAAACCCAGCTGATAAGAGGAGACCGTAATCTGTGAAGAGATAATATATTATATTTAACACGATATGTGGACTCCAGTTGTGACATGGCTGGTTTACAATAGGTGGGTAATAAACACGTATGAATTCCCATATAGAACAGGAATGAACATATTTATCACTGAATGCTAATTTGTAACATAACAGGAATTCACATATAAATCACTGATGGAGATCAACCTAATCATGTGTTACTGTCTTCTATTATTGGCTCTTCTAGATAGGACGATTCCTCCTACAGAACAGACAGGAAGTCTTATCACTACGAGGGATAACCATTTCACTTCATGTATTCCCCAAGGATATTACCACTCATTGTAAATGTTATAGGCCAACACCGATTTAAAACTGGACTCCAGGAAGATATGAGGCACAAAAATGCAGCTATGTACTTATTCATATATTTTTTAATGTATATTTTTTATACAGTCAGTTTAAGTATCTGAATTTGACCTAGTATCAGTCCTCGTGGAGCAGCGCTCAGAATGGGAAAGAGAGAATCAGCACAAGGAGTCAGTTGTGGAGGGATCATTCCTGATCGGAGGAGAGAGCTCATTAGTCTGCTGCTGCTCCTCCTTTTCCTGTCCATTCACAGGCTGGGGGAAGTGGTACCAAACTTCAGCAGAAAAAAGTCATGTCTCCTTCCCTGCAAGACAGGGCTGGCAGAGATTTGTAAATTTCAGGACTGGATAGACATGTAAAACAACTTCTATATACACTATATTGCCAAAAGTATTGGGCCGCCTGCCTTTCCACGCACATGAACTTTAATGGCTTCCCAGTCTTAGTCCATAGGGTTCAATATTGAGTTGGCCCCGCCCTTTGCAGCTATAACAGCTTCAACTCTTCTGGGAAGGCCGTCCACAAGGTTTAGGAGGGTGTCTATGGGAAGGTTTGACCATTCTTCCAGAAGCACATTTGTGAGGTCAGGCACTGATGTCGGATGAGAAGGTGTTCTATCGGGCTGAGGTCAGGACTCTGTGCAGGCCAGTCAAGTTCCTCCACCCAAAACTGGCTCATCCATGTCTTTATGGGCCTTGCTTTGTGCACTGGTGCGCAGTCATGTTGGAACAGGAAGGGGCCATCCCCAAACTGTTTCCACAAAGTTGGAAGCATGAAATTGTCTAAAATGTCTTGGTATGCTGACGTCTTAAGAACTCCCTTCACTGGAACAAGGGGGTCCAACCCCCTGAAAAACAACTCCACACCATAATCCCCCCTCCACCAAACTTTACACTTGGCACAATGCAGTCAGGCAAGTACCGTTTTCCCAGCAACCGCCAAACCTAGACACGTCCATTGGATTGCCAGACAGAGAACCATGATTCAGCACCCCAGAAAACACATCTCCGCTGCTTTAGAGTCCGGTAGTGGTGTGCTTTACACCACTGCATCCGACTCTTTGCATTGCACTTGGCGATGTAAGGCTTGAATGCAGTTGCTCAGCCATGGAAACCCATTCCATGAAGCACTCTATGCACTGTTGTTGTGCTAATCTGAAGGCCACATGAAGTTTGGAGGTCTTTAGCTATTGACTCTGCAGACAGTTGCCAACTTCTACGCACTGTGCGCTTCAGCATGCGCTGACCACACTCTGTCATTTTACGTGGCCTACCACTTCATGGTTGAGTTGCTGTTGTTCCCAGTTGCTTCCACTTTGTTATAATCCCACTAACAGTTGAGCGTGGAATATTTAGTAGCCAGGAAATGTCATGCATGGACTTACTGCACAGGTGGCAACCTATCATGGTACCACGCTTGAATTCACTGAGCTCCTGAGAGCGACCCATTCTTTCACCAATGTTTGTAGGGGTGTCCCAATACGTTTGGCAATATAGTGTATTCATTTTATCAGTGTAGTTAGCTATTTGCCTGGATTTCAACTTTAAAGCAACACTGTTGATGGCCCCCAAAAATCCCCAATGCAGCTCTCTGCAGTAGAAGAGTAAAAGTGTTCCCTTTCCTTACTCCATTGCTACAGCCTCCATCCAAGTCCTCAGCATTCAACACTTTCCAGAGTTTTGGATGCCTATGTCCTTATAGTCCATGCTATGCTTCCTTCCTACTTTACTGCTCTTGTCCTATGACATAGGGGTCAGAAGATGGAGTGGGGTACACAGGCAACCGGCAATCTCAAACTTGACAGATTCTGAAGAGTCTGGTGAAGGCTGCAGTGGCAGAACAGAGTGAAGATAGAAGACAAAGGACCTACCAGAGAGGTGAGTATAACACCACTTCTATTGCAGAGACCTACTCTACAAAGCCTCCAGGCCCCATACCAGAATTTCTTAGGATCTGAGAAAACAACAAAGTTTTCTTTATAAACAGACACAAATCCTGGAGCCTCTCATGATATGTAGATAACCTAGGTGACTCATAAACACAATCCACAACCCTGTCCCAAAACTGGGCTCCTCCTGTACTTCTTTAGGACCCATGAACAGTAAAAGGCAATATGTCCGACTAAAATAATGGGGCCAAGGAAAGGTTGCATCCCCCCCTTCCACTGACATTGATTAGGATTTCAATATGATCAGAGAAGTTGCCCCATTTGCATTGTCTGTTCTGGCACGGGTTGCCCCATCAGACATCAACTGCCAACAGTACAGGTGCAATCTCTCTTGTGAAGTAACAGGCAATTGCACAGCTTTGACCTATTGCACCATCCCCTGGTTTACTGCAGGTTTATGGAGGTTGTAGTTGGACCCCCAGGTACATATACCGGGGCCCTAGGCTCCTACCAAATTTGCGTTATGATGATCCAGCTCTGGTCCACCTTTCCAGGTCCCCTTTTTATTTCCAGCTGTCTTTCTTCCAACACCTGAGGGCTTGGACGTTTCTACATTTGGTCTCAAACAACTTGGAAGACTCTTCAACGCATTGTTGTGGTCTTCCACTTTCAGCCAATGGTGGAAAATGTGTCTATGTGTCCCAACGCTGACTGGCGAGGATCTCTCCGATTAAACAGCACTGACTAGCATCTCCAAGACTACAATCGATCAGCTTGCTCCAGCACAGAAAGGATTAGAAAATCTTTTTTTTTCAAAGTATTTCTGAGGCCGACCTGCACAGACCTTGGACAGACTATGCTGAAGAAATTGCATGTGTTCCAACAACGAGGGCTCTCTGAATGGCACTAGCCTGGAGTAGAGCAATGCTGTGAAAATAGTTGACTGGCAGTATTCCTCAGCAGGGAAACCCTCACCAATCAACAGAAAATAAGCACTGTGATATGCCTGGAAACCCTTCATGATGTTGACGGATTTCTGACATGCCAGGGCATTTTTCTTTGGCTGGGTTCTGTGAAGCCATCTTGTCCTGTTCAATCACACTCCACCACTATTTTTTAGAATGATGTTTTCCTGAAAAGCATCTGAAACACATGGTTCACATGGTCAGGCATTTCAGATCTCAAAGCTTTTGGGGGTCTGTTTTCCAAGGAAAATGACAACGGCCACATTTTGAGAAACAAAAGTGAACTAAAGAAATGACAATGGCATCACTTTGTTAATTTGTTTTCTCTGTGAACTGCATGTCACCAACAAACGCTTGTTTAAAAACCGCTTGCCTACCAGGGCAAATATTTCATTTTTTACGCACGCTAAATCAGCATTTTTGTTTTTGCTAGAATATTACTTAGAACCCCCAAACATTATATATTTTCAGAAAGCAGAGGTTCTGGAAAATGAAATGGTGGCTGCTGCAATATTGTGTCACATGATATTTGTGCAGAAGTTTATCAACTTTTCTGGAAAAAAATACACCCAAATGTGTTTTAGTGCACACAAACACAATATAATATCCAATTTTTGGTAAAAAATGATCTTGCATAGAGTACGTAGATACCAAACATATCATGTTTTAAAATTGCACAAACCTGTGAAATGGCAAAAACTATAGTACCTAAAATGGCCCAAAGGTGACGATTTAAAAGTCGCTGCAGGTTAGCAGTTTAGAATTATATGTGAGCTATGGTGCCATAATGTTTTCCCTTACTTTGATATTCATAGAAATATCTCATGTGTGGTGCAATCACTGTTTACATATGCATGATGGACCAGGGGCGGACTGAGAACTCATGGGGCCCCCAGGCAATAGGGGATCATGGGGCCCCTGTGTCCTCGCCCACACTCAAACGACACCCAAAAAAGCCTATGAAAGGTACCAGGGGCATCTCATGGGGCCCCTTACTGACCCCGGGCCCTTGGGCAGGGCCCGAGTTTCCGAATGGTCAGTCCGCCCCTGTGTTGGACCTATGTACATGTTTGCATTTTTTATGTGTGAGCAAGGGGGGCGGGGTGCTTTTAAAAAATTTTTTAACAATTTTCATTTATTTCAATTAAATGTTTTACACTTTTATTATTCTTTATGGAGACATCAGGAATCTATTAGACCCCTGATGTCCCCCCTGACATCAGCTGATCAAACACAGATCTGTCTGATCAGCTGCTTCCCTGACTGTAATGGCTGGGAAAAGACAGCTCTGAAAGCAGAAATGACAAAATCTTCATCACATCTTGCCTCATTTGTCACAGAGGAGATGGGGGAACAGATCACTTTTTTCATCCTTTGTTACATCTCAGTTGTGTTGCTCTCCTGCAGCCCATCTGCAGCCATTTTCCATCCAAATGCACTCCACTGATGGCTGCATGGCATTTCTCAGGGCCGACTTCCTAATGATGACAACAGTGAATCAATGCTGTCAAATGTGCATTGAAATAGCCGCTAGTAGCCTTCACTTAAAGCCTGTGTGACAGGGCGACAATGCTTGAGCACAATTGGGAGATAGAGACAGGCCGTTGTCACCCTATAACAGGAAGTGCCTGAAAAGAACCTTTATGGCAAGATCACCAGGGATTATTTAAGCTGCAAATTTAAAAAAATATTGAAATGGCATTAACATGTTAGTTTACACATTGATAAAGCCATGTGTTTTAAGATATCACAGAGTGGCCCATTGCCTGGGCCAGGTTGCCCCATCCCTGTACACAAGGCTTAGTCATCAGGAACACGCTCTGGTTTATATCTTACACACCATCAGAAGTTTGAAATGACTTGTCTTATCCATTTCATTATTCCTCACACCGGCTTCCAAGTCCCTCCTCGTACATCAAATACCTAAAGTTTCACTAGCCGGCAGAAAGATGGATTTTACAGGCTTCCTGCCGGGCGTCTGCTGCCATAGTACGATACCGCCGCACTTATTCTGAATTAAAGGGTATCAAGAAACCATTTTGCAAAGATCCCGAGTTATGTGGCTGTCGGAACGCTCAATGTGCACCTGTCCGGTAAAACACGGCATGGCGGTAATCTCCGAGATCTTCTAAAGACCCCTGGGAGGCGTGGAGATTTAGGCAGCCTTGTAAAGGTGCCACAGAATTCACACAGAAGTGTCTGAAAACCACAAAGGCATTAAAGTAATCTGAAAAGGAGACTTTACGGGGCTGGAACCCCCATCAATCAAGGCACGCTGGATGGTGACCATTTACACAAGCTTTGCAGGAAAAATTGGAAGGGCTCTAATGGGATCCAGAGCTGCAGGTCTAATGAAAGACGTTTATGGCTGTAAAGCGTGTGGCTAGTGACCGAGCTTGGTTACTTACGAGGACTGTCGAACTTGTATTGTGCTAAAGCCAGCAAACGACCGGCTGCGGCCAACCGCGGCGAGACCATCGCTAGGAGAGGTGAACCTCAGCTTCACCGACATCCTTCCTGGAGGCTCCTGCAGAAAGAATGAACATTACTGTTACCAGGACACCTAAAAACCTGTTTGTACCAAAACAAGCTACCCTTAAAGAGAACCTGTCAGTCATTTTCTGTCCTGTTACAATATACAGCAACAATATCCTTTTTTTTTTACAAAATCTCCACCTTTTATTGTAAAAAGCCATCCTTGAACGTCAGTCAGTTTGTCCGGGCTGAAATTAAATCATCAGTCGGCTACAGACAGGAGGAAGCATGACTAGTGCACCCCGAGATAGGTTCATCCAGACCCCACTACACCACCGTTACCCTTTACCCTTCCATACCAATCCCCTTTACTTACTATACTTACAGAAAACACAACACCAATTTTTGGAGTAAAATGGCCAGCACGGCCTTTTATTAACAAATCAAGTTTAAACACATCAACCATTCCTTATAACAGAAAACATAAAGAGTTGTCGTTGGTCTTTGAAGGCACCCCCAAAACGATCCAAAAATGCACCTGTGGACAACCATATTCCACTAGGCCTCCAGCCGCAACCAACCAGCTCGGAGACAACCATACCGTCCGCAGTGCAGCACCACCACCTTCCAGTTAAACCTCGGTTAACTGGGAATGTTCCCGGGCATCCCATACCACCGATGGGTCCCACACCATTTTGTACCTCCAAGATAAGAACCGCCTCCAAAGACCAACCACCGCCCAGGAACCAAATTAACCCCCCCCCAGGAGGAACACAACATTCACCAAACAGGGCGGGTGGGAGGGAAGCTCTCTCTCCCAGGTCCAGCTCCCAACTGACGCCCCTCCCCAGAACACCCCACCCTAAATTGCAGGAGACCCCACCTACACTCTCCTCTACCAACCAGATCCCCCAGCTATCCTTTACCAACTCTAAACAATCATTAACCCTCACACGTCTTCCTTTCCACTCTGGGCCTAGTCATGCCTTCCCTTCGCTAATTCTTTTCTTCTTTTATCGCTGCGGGCATTTCTTTTCCTCAGTCACCTCTCCCCCACTGACAAGACTGCCAACTTGCAACTATAGTCTGCATGAACATATGAATAAATCGACATAACATGCAGCAATGGTATCATTTTTAACTCTTGATCATTAATCAACTGTTCATAAGCTCTAGTCCAGTGACTTTGCCTAAGCTGCAATGATGTCAGTTGCAGGCAAGAGGAAGCATTTCCTCAGTCTCCTCTCCTCCAGTGGCAAAACTGGTACTTTGCAATTTTGGAGCAAGTCATGAGGTGAGAGACTGCAGCAGGGGTTGACCTGTGTGCGACATTTGTAAACACAGCCAAGATCTGTACAGGCACGAGGATTTACATGATTGTGTCACCTCTGAGCTGACATCTCTGTCTAGCAAGTAGATGGTGGCCCGGGATAATGTCTGAACAACGGTGGTCCCCTTGTAGAGTAAAAAGCAGATGAAGGCATTGTCAGGGGGAATACTGTAATCTCTGTAAGAGGAAGTTCATACCAGTAGATTCTGCACTTAACATACATATAATAGATAAGATATATATATATATATATTGATGCTAGGCCATTCACACTCGTGTATTGTAGAAAAGCAAGCTAAAACCATTAATGAGCATTACAACAAGGAATGACCCCTGCTCCGTGCGTGGTATATTGTGGCACCATTCTTTGTAAATGGCACCTCAATACATTGTATGGTAGTGCATAACGCACAACACACTGCATATACATGTACTGCGGTGTACTGCATTTAAAAAAAAAAAAAGTCATGTACATTTTTAATCTGTGTGGTAATGGTAGGCCATTTATAATGAATAGGATGCCACAAGGCAAGCATGCTAACACTTAAGAGACTTTTCATCAGGCAAGGTGTAATTATGCCTACAGAAAAGACCTGCTATTTCAAAAAGCAGACAATGTAATTAATCTAAATATTGAACCTATAAAAAAAAAGGTATCAATTGACCCTGTTTTCATGATTCCACCAATGGCAATAGATGGTGTAGACGAGATTGGTTGATATAGGCCGTAGCATAGGGCCGTACACCTACAAATGAACAGCCAGCAGAGTAAGGGGATGGTTTGCCATATTAATTTAAAGCATACTGACACAAAAGGGGAAAGCTGTCCCTTTCACCCAAGGATGGCATGACGGGGAACCAACTCAGCGCTATAAGGCTGTGCCCTGTAAAACAGCCTCTCAACATTTTCAGCTTACAAGAACCCTTTGCAGGTCTCAGGTAACCTCTGGTAAAACCAATTCATAGAGGATCAGTGTGACAAATGCCCCTTACATTGGTGGTCAGTGGTAAGAAAGCACCCCTTTACAGTGATAATCAGAATGCCCCCTTACAAAAAGTTAAAAAGATTGTTGGTGTCTTGCCACTGTTTCTGCCAAGTAGCATTTGTCCTGAAACTGTAGGTACAATCAAGATTGGAGGCCAAAGCGTTGTAAACCCTTCCATATACCCAGTGAAGTGACTAGCCTCAGGTGAAGCACAGAGTTGAAACAAATCCTCCTACAGGTTGTACCTTTTTATTTGCAGCCATCTCTCCTCTACAGCTGTTCAAAATTCAGAATTTACACAGCATTTCTCAGCTCCAGGAGGCAGGGATCTGATGTTTATCAACATAAAGCAGGGAGCTGAGTATAATCTGAGACCCGAGTGGAGGGAACAGACACATACACACACCCCTCTACACAGTCTCATATGGGAACATGTACATCTGAGGATGTCAATCAAAGGCTGTGTGCTGTAACCTATCAGATGTAACTCAAGCAGATAGCAGACAAAGGAGGCAGCAAACAGAAATCACACTAGGTGCTTTGGACAGAGGCAAGTACACACTATAGAAGGATATGCTCTGTACATTTTTCATTTCAGAGGTTTACAAAGACTTTAAGGAACCCTTAACAACCTCTGGAGGAACCCTAGGGTCTAATGGAACCCTGGTTGAGAAAGGCTGTTGTTAAGTATCTCATAGCCATTGACAACAAGCTATAGTTCCCCTTTATGGTCCATGTAGCTGGAGCCTTACTGCAGACATCCATCATGGCTATCTAATGTGGAAAGCGACGAGACAGACAGGAAAGCCACAAGTGTGATAAAGTCATTTGTCCTATCGGAGGAACAATTATATTACAGCGCAATATCCAGGTTATTGCAGCTGACTGTCTGCCAGCTCTGGCCTGCACAGCTTGGAAAGACATCGTACAAGAGATGAAAGATTCTGGATGGGGGGGGAGACGGGACCTAGCGCCAAACCCTGCGCGGGCTGTGCTGCACCATTAACCAGGCAGATCTTGGCCAGGACCTCTCTGCAGACCCAAACAGGTTACAACGACATCAACACCGAGAAACATTTGTTTCTGATTTTATAAAGAGCAAAAGAATCTAAACAACAACAAAGTTGAAATTCTGATTCCATATAAAGTACCAGTTATAGCAAGTTTACATTTCTCCGAGCGCGCTGTGCTGAAAATATTTACTGCGGAGCTATGTGGATGCAGATGTCGAGAACAAATAAATAATTACTTGACATTCCAGGCACAGCTAAAGAAACAGTCTACTAAAGGGCAAGCGTGACAAGAATTAACAAGTACTGAAAACCAAAACTTTTCCTATTATTTTTAATTTTGCATGGAGCGACCATAGTGACAAGGACAGAGCCTGAATTACCCCAGCAGGGACATCAATGAAAACCTGACAGGGCATCCAAAAACTAAAAGGGAAAAAAAAAAAACACACGTTTTGGCTTTACAGACTATTTAGGATATTTTTGGATTAGGAAACGAACACTATATTTCAAATGGTAACCAAAAAGACATAGTGGTGGTGTTTAGATCAGCCATTCTCAACCAGGGTTCCTCCAGAGGTTAATAGGGGTTCCTTGAGTTGTGGTTAATTGTCTTTCCAGTTGATGTTGCCTGCATGGTTCCAAGGACAACGCCACTTGGCAGAGCCAACTGCATGACACCAATGTTCTGTAAGGGTGGCATTGTGACTACGTTACCATTAACGGATATCTTGGCATCCATAATATGAATACATCGCACAGTGTGGATTCAGTGTGCACAACTCTACCCATTTCTTAGGCCAGCGGCCCATTTCCTCTAGAATATACTGTATATAGAATCTGTGTATATAAAGTTACTGCAAACGACAATATCACCATCAATGCATATAGAAGTACATCTGTAATGTGGAAAGGAGGACTTCAGGGGATCCTTGGGGAGCCAGACCGGAGCATAATTGCATCTAACGTATCGTATTGCGGGTATTGTCCAAATCAAAGAAAAACCTATCATCCATTAATCTAAACATTGACCGCAAAGCCACATTCCCAAATGGAATATCACATTTCAAATAGCTAAGTCATATAAAATGGAACATAAACATAGCGTGTTACCAGATCTGCATATAGGAAAATATTTAATAAAAATTGCAATGTTACCATCAGGTGCAGATACAATATCTGCTCCAAAGCTGGCTCATTTAGGTTCAATCAGGACCTCTGAAAGAAATGTTTTGGGCTAGAAGAAGGTATTAATAAGGTGTTCGTGAGTGGGGAGTTCACTTGGACAGCAGTAGCCTACCTCCACATGAAGATAGGTGACCATACAAGGTTTTATTAGTTCATTCCAGGGGTGGACTGACCATTTGGAAACTCGGGCACTGCCCGAGGGCCCAGGGTCACTAGGGGGCCCATGAGATGCCCCTGGTACCTTTTTCATAGGCTTTTTTGAGTTTGGGCAAGGACACAGGGGCCCCATGATCCCCTATTGCCCGGGGGGGCCCCCATGAGTTGTCAGTCCGCCCCTGGTTCATTCCCTTGAGAATGGTCAGCCAGGGCTGTCCAAACTAGCAACTTGCCATTAAAAAAATTCTGTTGTGCAGTTTCAAAATCTGCAAAGTTCCTTTTACCCAACATCCTCTTTTCTATCAGAGAAAGACAGAGATAAAGATTTCCAGAATTTATCAAGTGAGGGAGCGAGAGATCCAAAGCC